TTCCATTTTGACGGTGTTGGCAGCGTTGCTTTGAGAGCGCTATGATTTCAGGTTTCTGCCTTGCCCGTTATAAACACCATCGAACTTGTTGAACACAAGGTAATGACGTCACGAAAGGTAACCAAACGAGGGCGCCACCGAAACATCTCGTCGCTGAACTATACACGTTTAAAAGATGAAACATTACGTGAGACAATGTTACCGCTATTATACTGCTTTGCTCTGCAGATATGAAACATCTGTAGTAAATATATCTTCATTATGTTGAAGGCTTTGACGAGCGTGTTGGGACAGATGTAACAGTGAGAAAGTCCTTCTGTTTGTTTTGTGCTTTCTTACTGTTACACTTCATTATGTTGCCGGCCGAAAGGCGAGTTTGCTACGATGAAGCGTCAGCCCCCAGTTATCTTCTGAAAAGAACTTCAGTCTTGGTGATGTGCAGTGCACGTTTCAGAAACGTTGGGGAAGCTAATAGCGAGTTCGTTTCACACGCACTGTCACCGTTCGAGTTCTCTCCCAGAATGCATCGCACTCACAGAGTGTTGCACGGAAAACTGGACTCAAACGAACTCGCCAAATGCACCGAGTGCAGAAGACTGATGCTGCCGCCATCTATGTTGTAGAAAAGGTACCGACTTCAAACCGAAACTAGCGCCTTTCTGTTCGGAGTGATGCGTGGGAACGCGAGAATGCAGTCGGCTACCAACGTTTATCTACAAACGTTGGTCGCTGCAACCTGTAGTTTATAGTTGCGATGACTTCAAGCAGCTAGGCTGCCGTAGAGATAATTACAGACGGCGTAAATTTCCGCAACCAGCTGTCTACAAAGCAGCTGGTTGCGATCTTTCAATTCTTATAACCGTTTACACTGAAGAAAACTGATGATGCTGTCCGAGCAGAAGCTTGATCCGTTTGAGCGTGGTATTGTCCGTGAACCACTGAAAGGGTACGGCTTAAAACGAGCCTGTTGGAATATCCAGCAAAACTGGGACTTTCGATTTGGATCGTCATTATAGGTGGATTAGATATTAGCCTTGGTGAGGGCGTCGAGAACGAGAGCTTTCTCGAACAAAATACGACGGGGCAAGTTAGCTGACGTAGGTAAATGTTAAACATGAAGATGTTGCCCAATCCTCGGGTAAAGTCTCCATCTTTAGCTTTCTCTGGTGCTTATTGGGCAGACAGAGGTTTCTGCTGGGAGGGTGTTGCCGACAAATGTTAAATTTTCCACCCGCACACGGATGATGATGATAGACATCTCGGGGGCCGCTGTTACTTTTGTTCTGAGCATTTCTTTACACACTGGTATATTTCAGCGTTTGTACGGCAACAGAGCGATTTAAAACCTGCAAACAAATCACGGGTTGTCAATTGCTTCCTTCGTGAAATAGCAGACGCTCACAATTCAAGCTCGCGTTTCATTTCGTTGCCCGCGGGACGCAATTTCTATCAGAAAATCTACTTCTTTTCTTTTTTTTCTTTTTTTCCGTTTGGTTTTGCGACACTTCGTAGCAGACGAACCCTTGTCGTCTGCTCCCGCTCCTCGCCGGCCCCACCGGAGCGAGGCATGACGGGATTGCATTTTGGCGCACTCCCGATTTTCTCGGTGCAGCGAGTGCATGCACGCGTGGGGTGTCAGCGCTGAAACGAACTCGGAGAGTGCAAGCACTCGTGGAGTGCCGGCCGAAACGAACCCCCTTTACGCTGCGAGTGGGCACGCGTGGGCACGAGTGCCGTGAAACGAACTCGCTATAAGCTCGCGCTGAGCAGAAATGGGTATACATTATGGCCGCCAGGGAATACCACCTTCGGCACCAAGACGAACTTGAGCGAGCAGGGAGTCAATAGGGAGTTTTATTAGGCCGTTTCCGCAGCCCGCTAAGCACCCGGATAGAGCTCCGTAACCCGCCACAAGACCTTGAACTATGCAAACAAGGCTGGCGGCGAGCATGCGCAGCTGTGGCGTTTTCTTTACGGATATCGTAGCGGAGGAGAAAAGCCATCTACTGCAACTCCCTAATAATCTTCGTGCGCGATCGTCGAAGATCGTTCACAAACTGCGTCCGCTAAAACATAACATAAGCAGAAATCGTCCACTCGGACGGCTGAAAACGCAGCAGAAAAACATGGCGAAAGAATTGGCAGAACGAACAATGTTGACATCAGGGCACAAGGTTGCTTGACAAACAGGCAGCCCGCTGAATGCCCGCTGAAAAGCTGGTGATATTAGCGAGTTTTAGTAGACCGTGTTTCCCCCTCCGCTAAGCCTCTTCGCTACCCGGTACTCTACAGTCAAGGCCATCGGCGCGCAAGCGCAGTGGCGGAGCGGAGCGGAGGGGGAAACACGGTCTACTAAAACTCCCTATTATTTTCAATATCGGTTTTAGAGTGAACCGCGGTCTCTCATTAGTGTAATATGTTGTCAGTGCTTATATTTAGTCTCCGCAAATCGATATCAGTAATTTACTTTGGTGCGACTTTTGACCGAGGCTAACCCCTTAACAAACGACCCAAATCAGTAAAAGATTTTGTTTACTTTTTTTTTTGTGAAAGATAAAACGAACTACTGTATAAATTACATATTAAAGGGATACTTCAACGAAATTTGAAATATTCCCGTCGTGTTCAAAAATAGGTTGAATATGATCCACAATATTCGTAAATGACAATCGCACGTTTGTATTTTGATCCTGGTGGCTGTATTTTTCGTTATAAACGGCCCACACTGGCAAGCGCTCGGAGATGGCCCAGCTTAGAGCACGTGACATCCAACGCAATCGTGACGTAGGTCGTCTCAAGACGAGCAAAGCTACGGCGAGGCTGACGTCGAGAGGATGGCCTATAGTCGTTCCAGCCACGGAAGCGGCTGCTTTTGTACGAATTTTGAGTGACGGGTAAATCTTCTATAATCTTCTAGGGGGACATTAGCGACCTCTGGGTCACACAAAAGGGATTCCCGTAAAGAGGGGAGTTCCTCCTTCCCCCCTTCTCCCGTCGTGGCCGGAGGCGAGACAATAACCGTCACTACCTCTCAAGGTTCCTAGACGAGCATTACAAACGAGGTGTTAGCGACATCCACCAGGTGCTCTCTGCTAATCGTTTAATTCGTTTTAAAATTCCTTTTCGAGACTTTTTTAACAAGATATTGGTATGTTCCATGTGCTACTGCTCTGTTGAACACATATAGACCAAAAAATGAGCGCCGAAATTTCGTTGTAGTATCCCTTTAAGGAAGCCTGTACATGTGTGTTCCCTTCCCTCCTTAGTGTTTAGCTTTCGTATCTGTAACTACATCAAAACGCTCGTCAAACATTTTTTTTTTTTGTGCTGTTGTTGTTGTTGTTTAATTGTCGAACTTAGACGAATGGTGCCAAACAGTTCGAATACTCCTTAGAAGAACCTCTGAGTTCGGCAAATGTAAGCGATATCCCTATATAGCACATATATAACGAGTGTCTAATCACGAACACAGGACATGTTGGCTTCACAATGCAGCTAGCATGACCCATAAACACGTAACCCAGGCCAGCAGTTGGACACGCTGTTACTTGGGGCTCTCTACAAGTCTCTAGCGAAACCTGGCGCGGCCTGGCGGCCGAAATGTGAAACCGAGGAAAAGGGATAAATGCGCACCTTCGAAGCTGCCATACGGATAGCGCAGAGTTCCTGCCAACAAAACATTTGCTACTGCCGAAAGTTTATATCATATGTGTAGCCCTAACTTTATTCTTGTGTGTGTCATTGAGATGCTTTTTGACCGACAGCACGCAGTTGGTGATTTTCGTTGTGATTATCATATCATCCTCAGCCGAAGTAAGGATGGTTGGATGCTTGGAGAAGATCTAGTTATATGGTTTATGTGATCCGTGCGTGTCACGACAAATATTTGTTAGAAACGGAGGTCGAAGCCACGTGTCATTGTGAGGCTGTATCTGTTTGTCCTTGTTGAGATGTTTATACACTGTGAATTTCGCTTATACCTGAGGGAGAGCCAAGGCTTTTGAATCAGCTAATGACGTCGCCAATGCCAGTTGCGCTCAGCTGGAATTTGTTATTATTGAAAGACCAAAACCAAGAGTTTCATACCGCTAAATGTGGATGAGAATATGGAAGATAATTCAATGACACATTTCCAGAAAATTACACATTTGTACAGCATATCTCCCGCATTTAATATTAGGCATACAAAGTTGTGGCTGGTCAGTAATTGTATTGTGGTTTTTTATACTTTTTTCCTTCTTTTTTTTTTCCCCAGTTTACGTGGAGTTCTACTGTTCGGAAAACCAAGCCTTACTGAGACACTCACACGTCTAGAACCCTAAAATACGACTTCTAAAACTTACTATATCAGGACCGCATGGTCAACAATAACTAAATTATATATATATAAAAAAAAAAAACTTTAAATAAAATGCGACAAAAAGAAAAATATTGGTACGGTAAATATAAAACGTCTATGCGCACGCTTCCATGCTGTAAACAGAGAGAACGTGCGGGTTTTGCTGGGATCTAAGTACTCTAGAATTTCAAAAGTTCTTGATTACACATAATTTCCTGCAAGCTAAAAAGACATTGCAGGAAAAGAAATATTTCGAAAACGACTCGTTTCCTCCCCTTGTTTAGACGAGCAGCCAACGGTCGAAGTTTGGTGGCGAATTTATTATTATTTTTCCTTCCTCTTTTACAAACACAGCCGGGGTTCGGCTTGGTTCTGCAAACATCGGCAACGTACCCCAAAATAGAAGAGGCCGACGAGAGCTGCACTACCGGCCTGAGCGCAGATTCAGCTGTCCCGTCTGCCCGTACCGTAAACAATCCTTTTCCGGAATTGGCCAGACTCTAGCAATGTAGGAGTTCTCGGCAGTCAAACATTTGCACAGAATCCCCCGCGCAAAAGTTTTAACTACGTGGAATATCGATAATTAAGTTTAGAACTTTGGAGATCTGTTCCACTAGAGCTGCCGAGCTCATTCATAACGATTAGAGAGAACTGCACGTACCTTAGAGACGAAAGAATGAAGTCTGCTTCCGCGAGCTTCCCTGGCTGACGCGAAGAGGCCAACTGGTCGAACCGCTCTGTTTGAGAGGGTCGCGCTAACTGGGCGGGCTCCTTGCCAAAACTTCCTTGGCTCCTGATTGGTTGATAATATTCCACCGAGGTTGCCAGACGACCGAGAAACTTTTTTTTTTTTCTTTTAGGCTTAGGATTTTCGGTTTCGGTCCGTAGGGGTTTCGGCCGCAGACGCCGGCTCCCTTCTCTCTCAGAAAGAGAGAGTGGCGAAACCGAAGAAAGGCTGAAGCCGAAAGGAGAAATAAAAAGCAGCGCAGAGTGAAACGTGAAACTAAATACGGACATCGTGGAGGGGGATGGGGACCGGAGGCCACGGCAGCTGGCAATCGGCGAAGCGGAGCAGGGTGGAAGGAGATAATCTAGAAATATAAAACGGACTCGTGAAAGCTGATGGTATATCGCGGATGGCAGAGAATTGATGCAGCGCTAAGGGGCCGAGGAGAGAAAACGCCATAGAGTACTTTACAGACGTTCCTTCCCCGACAGAAACTGCGACGTTAGTAGAACCGGAACTCTTTTTGCTCCCGTCCTCTCTTTTCGCGCGCTCACGCAGTTTATGATCTTTCCTGTGGGGATTTCGGGGTCAATTGGTCTATTCATCAAACGATCTGGGTATCGTTCTCTCGCTGTCAGATAACCTTATGGCCATTCGTGTTTCCGTTGGTTTATCTCGTACTTAACGTTACCTATCTCAGGGACGCTTCTGTCTGGATGGAGCGCGTTATGGGGCAAAAAAAAAAAAAGAGTAATTTGATTGAACATTGTCGTCATAAGCCATTACAAGACATCTGTGGAGTCATATGGTTTTGACAAAGTATGCCCCATAAGATCCCACCAATATATATATATATATATACGTCCTAACAAGTCCTAACCGTGGTCCTAAGTCGCGTGAGATGATTAACAATGACGACAGATATCATATGTGTGGAGTGAGATAACGTCTATGGCATCCCTTTATTAAAAAAAAAAAAAAATTATATGGCATGAATTTTTATGACCACTGAAAGACCAATAAAGCTCTGAATTAAAGAACCTTTAAACGAGTTACCGCGGGAAAGTTAAATAATCCGAAAAATTTTAGCAACTACCGGCGTCTGATTTTGGTTTCGGTTTTATTTTGTTTGTTCTCCGACATGCTGCGAAAACATTTGTGGCGAAAACATTTGCAGAATAAGGGTTATGTATATAACGTGCTTCACTGTAATTAATGTTAATGTTTCTTTTAACTGTATATCGTTTTAAAATTTTGCGCGGACGGTTCGGTTCCTACATTTCCTACGCATTCCTGCCAAGGAAACAGGCTCGCGGCATTGGTGGCAGCGCACTAGCTATCGTCATTATACACATGGCGGCAAACGCGGAAGATTAAAATTTTCTCGGCCGTACCACGAGTGTGTTTATCGGACGTTAAGTTGGCAGTGGACCAGAATAACGTCGTTTATAGAATGTACGATCAATGGTATTATACCACGTTCGAAGAGGATGAATACTCTGCGTACCCAGAACCGTGCGAATCGCCTCCGGTGAGTGTCAACAACTTGGAGCACACCACCACCGCCGCCGCCACAACGAAACCTCGTATCGGCTACGTGCACAGCGCCGAACACCTTTTCGAGTGCGAAAGGCTGCCCCGAATCCGCCGCAGGTGCCTCCTTGTTCACGGACTGATCAAGTGCTACGGTCTCTTGAAATCCCTTTACATAATCCGCCCTCCGCAGGCGACCCGGAACGATTTGTTGACCTTCCACTCGGAAGACTACGTCGACTTTCTTGAAACGTGCGAGTCGGCAAAGGACCTTGAAACGACGGATATTCTGGACAAAGCCATGGAATACAACCTCGTGGACGACTGTCCGTTGACCGATCGCATATTCACGCTCGTGAAACACATCGCCGGCGGCACGCTAAGCGCCGCTCGTGCCCTGACCGAAGGACAGTGCGACGTCGCGATACACTGGGAAGGCGGCTGGCACCACGCTCAGAGGAGCGAAGCCGCCGGGTTCTGCTACGTCAACGACGTCGTGCTGGGGATCCTCCAACTTCGTCGCCGCTTCGAACGGGTCCTCTACGTCGACTTGGACGTGCACCACGGCGACGGCGTTCAGGACGCGTTCTGCGGAACCGACAAAGTGGCCACTGTGTCGTTCCACCAGTACGAACCCTGCTTCTACCCGGGAACCGGAGACTGCAAAGACGTCGGCATCGGAAGAGGCCGCGGCTACTCGGTGAACGTCCCTCTTCGCAGCGGTATGCGAGACCCGACTTTCGTGAGTGTTGTCACGACTGTTCTGGCCGAAGTTCAGCGTCGGTACGATCCTGTGGCAGTCGTGTGTCAGTGTGGGGCTGACTGTCTTTCCGGCGATCCGCTCGGTGCCTTTAATCTGACCGCGGACGCTCTGTCCAAGTGCCTGAGTTTTGTGCAGGCTTGGAAGCTGCCCTTGCTCGTGCTGGGAGGGGGTGGCTACTCTTTCGCTAACGTGGCGCGGTGTTGGACGAAGCTCACCGCGACACTGTTGGGCGTGAACTTGGACGAGGAGATTCCCGAGCACGGCTTTCTGATGGAGTACGGACCAGGGTACGAGCTGGGTGTCGAGCCGGGACGCCGACCTGATCTGAACGATTCCGACTATGTGGACAGAGTCGTGCGTGCCGTGCTCTCGCAAGTACGTCACATGGACCCGCCGTAACTTGTCGCGTGAGGTATAAAATTTAGCCTAGGGACGTGTTATGAAGGTAATTAAAATGAAAGGTATAGATTCCGCCATCGCTCCATGAGCACTGGCGCCACTGGCGCCGAGGCCACCATTGGCCACGCCCTCGCACCCCAAATCGGTGCCGAATAGAGCACTATATAGCTCCTTCGGAGCAGAGTAGCGCAATCTAGAACGCCGCCTCTCGGCGACTAGCGGCGAACGCCCGGAGGTTCCAACTGCGGTCAGAAATGCATGGAGAACGTGAGAAAATCGTTGTTTCTTCAGTATTGTGGGAATGTACGGAATGGCAATCGTTTTTGACATAATAATGGAACATTTCAGAATAATTTGCGCGAAGTTTTGTGCCCCGCAAGGACCTGACTTTTTTTTAAAAATTGCTTGAACGGCATCATGCAGCAGACGACACGGCGACGTCACACCATTCACGTGACCCGCTCCGGCCAACCCGAAAAGCCCATCTCCGCTGCGAGCAAAAATCGTCTGCTTCAAACGCCATTGCCTTGGAAATTGCCTTCTCAAAATTTGCACACGCTTCCGATATTATTAAAACTTTGATAAAGTGTTAAGTGCTTTACTAACTTCACGACAGACTAGTTTTGAAAAGTGTGAACTCGCCGTTCATTTTTTAATCAGCCGTGTTGTATCGATCTCTATGTATTCTCCCATAGGGCGGGCCGCCTCCTGGAACCCTGAGTACCACGTGACTCGCGCCGAGCCGCTCTGTCGGCCATGTTGTCGGCAAAACACGGGGTTCAAAGGATTGCGCTACTCTGCTCCGTAGGAGCTATATAGTGCTCTAGTGCCGAAAATACTCAGCCTGGCCACCAAGATCCCGAAGTATTTCTCTGCCCCTCATATAGATGGCAGCACCTCCCCGTGTGGCGCAGAGCCACTTCTCTGTCTTCACATAGGTGGCAGCACCTTCCAATGTAGTAGGGGGAGAAGATGAACGTACCTGCTGGGGTGAAAAACGCTTACTATTGCATGAAGGAATGCTTTATTTTGTTCGTTAAGTCAACGGTAAAATTACACATAAAATATAATTTTAAGAGCATTATTCTCACGACGCCACTGTAAAGAGTCAAATTCCGTCAAAGAAAATAACTCCAGTGTCTCGAGCTTACCATGAGATTGCCACATAACGAAGCAAAACCTAAAACATGTGTCCCCTCCCAGGATACACGAAGGACAATTTTCAGGTCCTAGGTATGTTTTAGAGTGGACATATTGCTTATGTACCCTCAGAATGAAGAAAGACGTGAGAGCCAGCAGACGGCTTCCGTCCGCGTTGTGAGGGACCATCACTACCGCCAGCGGGAATCGAACCCTGGACTTTCCGTGTAGTAGTCGAGCATCTTACCTCTGTGCTAGTGGCAGAATGGGCAGAATGAACTTTCGCTCCCCGTAGAGGAGTCCTGGGGAATGATGTCGTATTGGTCTGGCCAGGGTTAGGCAGATGGTCGGTGTGTCTACTGTCGTTTACCGTAAAATGCGCCACCAAAATGAAAAAAAAATAAAATAAAATAAAATAATGCCAATTAAATAAGGCGACAATGTGGAAATGTTTTGATACTTGAAGTCCAGGGACGAGCGATTGTATGAATGTTTATTATTAGCATGAGCCAGTGGCGTAGAGAGGAATTATTTTTTAGGGGGGGAGATTTCTACTGACCGTGGGGGCTTGGTCCCATTTTCGCGAGTGGGCCCCTTCCAGAGTTTCCACGGCGCATGCGCAGCAGCAGCGGACAGGAGGCAGCGGTGGTCGCGCGCACAGTGGTCGCGCGTTTCGAGGTTCTCCGACATGCCCCAGTGATGTTCTCATGTCGGCTGCAGCAACGAGAGCGAGTGTTGCCGCGGTTTATGTTTCTTTCGGTTTCCTTTTAGTAGCCTGCACTTGACGAAACGGCAGCTGTGGATTTGGGCGAACCGGCAAAACAAAGGGACCGCACCTAAAGGCTGCCTTTAAAGGTGCACTGACACTGACGGGGTATTTATGCTCGCCAAGGTTTTTATTTGTGAACTACATATGAGAGCCCATCTACGCGGCTCGAAATTCCTTTTCTTTCTGCCCGAAAGCTGCCGATCGAGAACTGGGCGGTTTGAGTCGTGCTCACTCTTTTCTTCGTGGTCATATGCCGTTTTTTACGGTTTAGACAAAACCACCAAATCAAAGTCGTAGGTCATCGAAGGCACACAAACACAATATTAAAAATAGAAAAGAAATATGCCGTTTCTCGCGGCTTCTAAAAATTTAAAAATACGTTGATTAGAAAAAAAGTATCACAACCACGTGACTTCCGCCACCTCTCTTCCTCCCCAGTCCAGTTTCGGTGTCCAGCAGTCAGTTTTGACTTAATTAAAATTAAAAATATACGTGACGCTGTATCAAAATATTGATTTGGTAGTCTTCTGACATCGTAATGTATCGCCTGGCAAATGATATAAAAATAACTTTTGAGGGTTGTCAGTGTTAAAGCACTCCCGCGTTCGCAGTTGCCACTTCAAGGAAGATTCAAGTGTGTGTTCCTTTATTTGTTATTAGTGCAGAAACACAAGTCAGCAGGTGGATTAGGTATGATGTCGTCTCGCTTATGTGCCACGCAGAGCGAGCACCTCGGAGTTCGCGTTTCTGTGGTGGAGCGTTTGACTGGAGCAGGTTTTTGCTTGTGCCTGTCTCGTGTTGCAACGCAAACTGCCTCTTTTTCTTTTCTTGGTTGCTGTAAACATTGAAATTGCCCACAGTTTTCAGATATTTATAAAGCATCAAGGTAAAGTGGCTATGCTGCTCAGTTTGTTGTTATGTGCACACCCAGAAAGAGAAATGGAAGCAGCTGTTTCACCACCACGACCGCATCTGCTGGTCTTGTGGTTAAATAAGAAAGAGAAAAGTGACCGCGTCAAAAAAAAAGAAAAAAAATGGTTTTCCGATTTCTGCCTGGTGACGTCATAGAAGTGTCATGCTTGCGCCGGCAGCAATCCTGGCGGTGTCCCAGCAGCGGTTGTGGATGTAGCAGACGCCTGTTCTGCGGCACGTCGCTCTTCACTGTCACAGTCCACGGAAGCTTCGCCAGCCAGAAGTTCGGACGTCGCGACGACAGCGACACTCGCCAACAGGATAACACTCCGTTTTTTTCCGATGTCATTTTTTGTCACTTGGGGGTACCACTTTCGATGCATCGGCAGATTAGGACGTTAAACACACCGTAGTACGACATTTGGGCGGAGAATCGGCGTTCGGGAATACGTACAGCAAGTTATTTTAGCGGTTAGCTATGGTAAACTAAACACTCTTTTCTTTTTCTCTTTTTTTAAGAAAGAGAGAGGGGGGGTTTACAACTTTGATTTAAGACTGCAAATGCTACCGATATCAGTTTTTTTTATCAATTTCTTTACTAGGTTTTTATTAAAGGGATACTCCAACAAAATTTCGGCGCTCATTTTTTGGTTTATATGTGTTCAAAGGAGCAGTATCATATCGGTTATACCAATATCTTGTTAAAAGAAGTCTCGAAAAGGAATTTTAAAACGAATTAAACGATTAGCAAAGAGCACCTGGTGGATGTCGCTAACGCCTCGTTTGTAATGCCCGTCTAGGAACCTTGACAGCTAATGACGGAGGTTGTCTCGCCTCCGGCCACCTCGAGAGATTAGGGAAAGGAGGAACTCCCCTCTTCCCGAGAATCCCTTTTGTGTGTCGCAGATGTCGCTATTGTCCCCCTACAAGATTATACAAGATTAACCCGTGACTCAAAATTCGTACAAAAGCAGCCGTTTCGGTGGCTGCAACGACTAGGCCATCCTCTCGACGTCAGCCTCGCCGTAGCTTTGCTCGTCTTGAGACGACCTACGTCACGATTGCGTTGGATGTCACGTGGTCTCCGCTGGGCCTTTTCCGAGCGCTTGCCAGGGTGGGCCGTTTATAACGAAAAATACAGCCACCAGGATCAAAATACTAACGTGCGATTGTCTTTTACGGACATTGTGGATCATATTTAACCTATTTTTGAACACGACGGGAATATTTCAAATTTCGTTGAAGTATCCATTTAAGAGACTTAACTTCCGAGCGACTGGAGAGGTTTTTTTTTTTTTTTTTTTTTTTTTAATCATGGCATTGATGTAATCCACTCCAAAATGTTCAACTTTTTTTTTTTTTTTTTGGTATTTGGTACGCAAAAAGAAAAAGAGAGAGAGGTGTGCAATACTCCGAGGTTGGATCATGAGGAACCGTTATTTAAAGTTGCTCCCTGGAAATGAAATTGAAGGTTGTCAAGCTCTTCATTGAAACCCGGCCAGACTCCTTTCATACGTTTTTGGCCTCACAGAGAGGAAGCATATGTAAATCATTGTGTGCAGCATCCTTCCATTCAGAAGGAGGGAAAACAAACCGAGGAACGCATATGCTACGTTCTTCGGAGTTTTGCTTTACGCCCAAAAAAATTTCTTTAAAAAACTCCCAAAAACGCAATGCAAAAAAAAAAAAAATAAAATAAAAAACAGTTGAAGTTTAAATTTTTGAGAAAGCGAACAGGCAGGCGTCCTGGGTGTTCTATTGTCAATGTTCGACATTTAAAAACAAAACTAAATTGAACCTACAAGCCTACACAGAGTGCCGACACTCAAAAATGCATAGTAAATTGCTGAGCAATTGCGCTGCACGTGCAACGTGTGGCGCCTACGATCTCGGCGCTCTTCATCGCTTAGTTTAGCGACTGGCTTAGCGCGTGGCATTACACTCGATTGCGATTCCTGGAATGCAGCTACCGGCGCTAACCCTGGCTTTAAAACGTGTGACAGGGTGTCAAGTTGCTATTCACCGGACGCTCAGCGCATGCCTCGCAGGGCTTTCCCGCCAGATGGCACTCACGGCAATGTGGCGTGAGAGTCTGGAAAGACAATCGCTTAATAACGTAAGTGGTCCGGGTTCGACTGCCGCTTGGTGCAAACGCTTTTTTACTGCGATGCCCCCCACCACATCACACGCACACACACAAACACACACACACACACACGCACGCACGCACGCACGCGCACACACACACACACACACACACACACACACACACACACAAAACGAACCGGTGTCAAGCCTCTCGGCCACGCATTGCGTACCATGATATGTGCAGTGCGGTGGCGCTGGCTTGAAGGCATAAACTGCTGCGTCATTAAGTGCTCCAAAAGCGGTGCATCGTGTTTCGTGGGTACAAAGTTTCATAGTTTTTCTACTGGCCGTCATATGTTTTGGGGAGCAGCGACAACGATGGACCCGTGTCGTGTACGACGCAAGAAGTTTGGCCTCCCGATCATCTCTACCCGTGTATCGACACGGCTGACATGATGTACTACATACACTGCTGCTTCGCGCACTGTGTTTGTTTTTGTGCCAGTAACGGTCGAATAATGTAACGCCAGCGGGACGGACTTGAATGCCGTCGCACGCTCGCGGGTATGCGGTGCCAATTTCGTTGGTGGGATGCCCTCCAAAGGCGTTTCGTCCCCATCGTATGTGTCAACGATATTTCCGGACCAGCATCGCGTGCAGTCTGTACTTCCTGAAGAGATATTAGGACTGTGCACCGAGAAAAGAATACGAGTCTAAGGGAAAATACGACGAAACATGAAACCTCTGCACAATCGACGTTTGAGTCTGGCAGTTTATATGTGCTCTCTTTTTTGATCAGCCTTCTTCCGGACGTGGAAATCGCTTTTTTTTTTTCCACGTGCAAAAAAAACAAAACGCTGGAATAGTTTTGATAAAAGTAATGCGAGATAACTGATAAAAGAAATTTAAAAAATCATAATTTAAAACATTAAACAAATCAGCTTCTGTTTTATTATTGTTATATCAAATATAAATGAGATATATTAGTTAGATCATTTTACCTAAAAAGAAAGTTTAGTTTTCTCTAGGTTTGTTTTAAAACACAGGAATTTGGTTCTCCAGTCTACGTAACCACTGAAAACGAAAGTGTAAAATAAACATTCACAGTAAATTTAATTACGTCGTGAAGTGTATTTTAATTCAAAGCTGTTTATTTTTTGCATAAACCACGTCATACAAAAACAAAAGGACCTTAATTTATTTGATAATTGAGAAAGCTTTTGTTTTCTATACTGCATAGCAAACTAGGAATCGCTCCGAAGTTTATCCGAACGCCCCGTGGAAACATCTCCCTCCCGCCAAATTGTTTTCTTTCTCCTTCGTGCACACGGTGCACCTGTTGCCATTTTTTCTCAGGCCGGTACCAAACAAAGTATTAACGGCCTCAGAGCTACACCAAAAGTAAAAGCAACAAAAGAAAGCAAATATTCAATAACGTAGAATTGACCTTTGAACTCGAGCACAGCAGGCAGCTTGCTTTAACGAGGGACTTTTCCTTGGGTTTTAAAGTGAGCAAAACGTAATCTCCTAAAAAATAAAATAAAGAAAGCGGCAAGCTCGTCTAAGACAAAACGTATACTATATACAAATCGGTGTAAGATCGACCTTACATATGGTTGCATTCAGACCTGCCTGTCTGTGCCTGTCCCTCTCAGTCACTCTTTGTCGGTCAGTGTGTTCCAATACACCGTCATTTTTTTAGTGCGCAGCTCTTAGGCGCCCGTTTCCGGCTTGAGCGGCGTCGCCGACGCCGTCGGCGTCGGCGTAACCGCGCCGTGCATTATGGGCAAATTTTCCCGAAGGAACACGAGGTCCTCCCGAAGAACCTCGGGTTCCTTCGGGAGGACCTCGGGAGGACCTCGGGTTCCTTCGGGAGAACCTCGGGGACCTCAAGTTTCTTCGGGAGGGCCTCGGGAGGACCTCGGGAGAACCTCGTGTTCCTTCGGGAGGACCTTGGCAGGACCTCGGGTACCTTCGGTAACCTCGCAGAGAGGGGGGGGGGGGGGTCTCGTGACCCCCCCCCCCCCCCCCCCCCCCGAGGTCACGTGACCTTGGGTTCCTTCGGGAGGACCTCGGGTTCCTTCGGGAGGACCTGTTCCTTCGGGAGGACCGGGAGGACCTGGGTACCTCCGGTGACCTCGGGGTACGTGGCCCCCCCCCCCCCCCCTCAGTACCCTTCCCTCCTCCTCCTCCTCTAGAGCTGCACTCTAATTCGGCGTTACAGGGAGTTGTAAACGGCTTTCACTTTTTTGTTTGTTGCTTTGGCAATTTGATTTACTTGCGTAAAATATCACGTAACTGACGAAACAAGTGGAAGTTAGAAACAAAGCACGCCCCTCCGATTAGCGCGAAAGAGCACCGCATTTTGCTCCTGTTCAGCCTGTCGTACATCTTCCTCTGCTTGAGGTTGTTTTTTCTTATTATTAAAAACAAGATAAATTCGCATGCACGGCATGACATTGGACAAAAATAATTAAAACGTATTTATGCTATTAGTTTTGCGGCTGAGGAATCTGTTTTTGTGAGAAATGTGTTCTTGTGGGAAAACCATCACAGCGAAATTGGTGTGGCTTAAATCTCGACTTAAACATCTTGATTTTTATTCTCCACCCTGAACTCAATGGATTCGTGGTAGATCAATTTCAGGATATTAATGCCTCGTAAGATTTTGTGAGAGTGCAGGGCGTGCACCTTGTAGAAGACGGGAAGGTTTCTCGTCGGAAAATAGCCTGCATTGCGATTTATTGAAGCTAGACGAGCAACTGCAGGTCTACCCCAGCCCTCAAGTAACGTTACCCTCAACGTGTCTGCTCGAAGTGTCGAAGTTAAAAATTCCGTTCCTGCTCGCTTCCGCCGCCACAGCTTAGCACGCGAAAGGGTACGGCAGGATGCTGAACGCGTCTCACTGCCGAATGCCAGCTCCTCCGCTAGTGGCGCTGCGCGCGCTTTTTAAAGCGCCCCCTATAGTTCTCGCACGGAGCTTATACTGGCACCCTGTATAGATAGTACCAGCAAACTATATTGAATCACGGGAAAAAAAAGGTATAATATCGTATTTCATAACAGAGAATGCCAAACAGAAAAGAAGCGTTATAAAAATTGGAGACACTAGCAGCTCGGTTCAAAATGAGTTTATTTCAACGGTAATTGTAAAAAAATTGTCAAAAACAAGCGAGACCATGCAACGAGACAGCAGGCCCATTTAGTAAGGTACTTAAAAAAATCATCAGTATAATAAGACAATGTCCTTTGTTCAAGATGAACTATGTACATGGAATTCAGCTTTCGGCACTCTTCGGGGCACGCACACTTCCGTGATCCGCTCCCAGGGCGCGCTTCCGTTGAGACAAGACTAGGGCCTAAGGGTGCACGAGCGTCACGTGACCGGAGTCCTCTGCCGGTAGATGGACGACGGAAACCAAATGGAGTGGCTGAAGGCATTGCACGACCAGGAAAAGGACCTCGGGAGGAAGAAGTCAACGACATCCGTCTGCAGAAGGAACCGAACATAGTCAATAGAATGTTCCTTGAAATTACATCCAGCCCCGCAGGGAGCGTTGGATCTTTTCACCAACGCAACCTTGTCGCTATACTTACAGCCAGAACCCACATGACAAGACTTTCAATAACAAAGTGCACATTTCTTGGCCTGCTCGGGAAGAGAGTGAATTCGAACGCGACTGCGAAATAAACCTTTCGAGAGAAAGCGCCTGAGGTGGAAGTCTTCACTATATGTTTTTGCCATATGTTTCATTTTGTGGTTGTGAGATCAATCGCACAACTTTATTTGGAGTAATGTCCTCTTTAGGAACTCAAAATTCCCGATCTGTCGATTTATCCTGTCGCGCTTTGTTCATCCCAATTTCACAACACCATATGTCGAACCTCCTTTGTAGCAAGGTGCTGAAATCTAGTCGCAGGCCGAACCAAAGAAATTTGATGATCGCGCCGTTTATAATTTGGTGCATTAAGACAGATTTGTGCCACATCGAAGAACATTTCCCTCTTCGTCATATTATCTTACGAGTCTTTCCGTGTTGCCACTTCCTTAGCTTCGCATAAATCCTGTTTTTTTTTAGAACCTTGGGAGTTTCGCCGAAAGCGCTACAACGCAATGAAAAATATACCAACCCTTGTTTGAGGGCAGTTGATTCTTGAGTAAAACTCGACAGTGTAGAAAATGACGATAAGACCCCAGCCGGCGATGAGTGTAATCCAGAGGAATACGTTCCAGAAACGTGCAGTCTTCTTTTTGGTGATGAACACAAACGCCACTGCATGGGGAGAAGAACGAAACACATTATCAAGTACTCTCGCGGACCCAACACGAAATGCATTTAAACAAATCGAGGAGTTGTCATTCTAAGGTTTGGCTGATGGCTGTCACACATGACAGCCAATATCTTGCTCAATAATGATGTCAAACAATCTAAAACGTTGAGTAAAGAAGGCTGCCAACCGAACAAACGTCGTCGACTTTGTACGTTTAATGGGCGGGAACAACGGCTGGCGGGGAACCGTACCTCCATAAAGAGACGTCATGTTTACGTTAGAACAATTTTCTTAAAAAGCGCACGAGGCTCGGAAGCATATTCGCGCTACAATTTTGTATTGGCCTTCGGTTTAACCAAATTCATTTCAGCTAAAAAGGCAGACTATGTGCTTATTAATGACAGAAGGAAAATTGTGAGCGACATTATTACGGAATGCACGCTAATAATTGAAAACATTGCGAGCTCCAGGTAATAAATTACAGAAGATGTGGTGGGCCGCCCGTATCATATCTTGGGGGTTAAAGTCAAATTTGGGGGTTTTACGTGCCAAACCAACGGCGGGCATCTGGCACGCCCCAGCGGAGGACTGAGGATTAATTTCGACCACCTGGGGATCTTTTGACAACCGAAAGTTCGGTTACACGGCGCCTTCTCCGCAGTAAGCCTCCGTCAGATTGCGGGCATTTCGGCCGGGATTCGAACCATCTCGGGGGCTACTTTGGATCTTGGCATTATTAATGATATTGCGGGTTTACGGCATAAACGCTACTAGGTCAGCTGCGTCGAAAAAAAAGAAAAAGGTAATTTACTTTGGTAACGGTTACCTCGATGTGATTAAAGGAACGACTTTAACTGTGTGCACTTACCACCAAGGGTACCAAACACGACCAAGATGACCGGAAAGAAAAATCTGTAGGTGACTGCCAAGATGTACTCGTGGACGACAGCCGAGAGGAAGAACACCACGAGCATGGAGTATTTCTTGTTCCGGTTGAAAGCCTGAGGCAAGACGTACGGGATGTTCAAGAACTCTCTCAACCTTTTCTATTACCCGTTCTACTTACCCTGTAGGCATCACGATAGACGTAGTTGAAGAGCCAGTCATGAACGACAAGATTCCACGACCTGTAGAAGTCCCCGTACGTGGTACTGTTCCACCAGTCCTGCGTGGCATAGAGACATGGATAGGCGGCGTGAAACTCCACGAAGAATAATGCACAAGGTCATTAGCCTCTGCAGTTCGCTAAATGCCAATAGTTCCACAGCGGTTTGGTAAATGTCAATTACAGGTTCATGTGATTCTGGAACTTAGCAAACTGAGTAATGAAGCGGAACGAACTCTATGTGCTGTCGCTAAAGAAGTTTGATATGATAGCCATATATGTCAATTGTCTCATCACCAGTACCGTTTGATTTTGTTGGTACTCGGAGCTTCAGTTTTGCATCTATATGTGCCGAACCGGAGCACATATGGCATGGAAGACCCCTCAAAACTGTTCGCGGCTTCAAGTGATTCAAGCAGCACGACTGGTCACTCTATGGGCACGAAAAACACCGAATTTGTTGAGCCGCAGCAGATATGTTAACAAGACAAAATAGGTTTAAAACAGAACCTTACCTTTTAAAGAGAATAAAGAATCGAGGTTAGTTTTGAAAAGCTAACGTGCACAATTCATACATTTGCATCGGCTGGTCATTTCATTGCTCGGAATTTGAAACGGCGTCACTTAATTCGTCTTCTCGACCGAAAGGCAAAACTTCTCGGTAGCCCTCTGAGAAAATTGGAACTTGCAAAGTGTAATTCTAGCTTTTTCAGAAGCGGGTTGTGTTCACCCAAATATCAGTTAAACAATTATGCATTTCAAGTTTAACGTTGCAAGATTGACTTTGCCCCTTGACCGGCTTTCTCTAGGCAGGGTACGAGCAGTTGTAAAAGTCCAGGCCTTGTCCCCAAGCGAACAAAGGTCACACTCTACTGGCAGATATTTCAAGTGCCTTTTCTTAGAAACGTGACCGACCGATGACAAAACACCGCCTGTGAACATGCAGTGCTACTGAAGATTGCTCAATACGCACAGAAGGTGGTTCTGTGAAGTCATCGGACAGAGTTACGGGCTTTTGTTGAGTTAGTTGGTTTATGTGTGAATGTGGACAGCTGATTTTGTTTTCAGCATTCAGGTGAACAACAAAATACAGTTTGCACGCGAAATGATGGAGGCACTAGCCGTGGATAACGCTGCCGAGGGATGCATCGGCACTCATTTAATCACGCAAAAAAAAAAAAAAGAAATGTATCTGTGCCGTGCCACGACTAAGTGATACGGAGGATGAGTAGTTGGAGTCACATGATCATTTAAGGTTTTAGTGTTTTTATGCGTATATATTGAGATAACAAACCTTATTAAACAGCAGTTGCTTGTCAGCGGTGTCCCAGTTCTCTTATAATTACCTTGTGTTTTGTTAAAAAGGAAAAAAAAAAAAAAAAACGTGTGATGCCCACATTCACATGGAATAGACTTCGATGTTTGCCGCGAGGCAGGTCCAATGCGTGGCCAGCCTCACCAGGTAGAAGAGGCGGTCTCCGAAGCGCATGGCCTCGGCGAAGATGTTGAGCCAGCAGTGTAGGAAGCCGTAGAAGACGAGAAACATGGAAATGCTCCCCAGCAGCATGATGGCGCAACCGGTCAGGGTGAAGCCCAGCAGCTGGAAGCTCTCCTTGCCGGCGTCGCGGAACAGGTCCTTGATGAAGTGGTTCAGCACCACCGAGTAGAGCAGGAAGCAGGCCAAGAACTGGCCCAGGTACCAAAGCACCAATCCCCAGCGGACTTTTGGTGTCCTAGGCAGGGCATATGGCATGGCTTAGATTGCAGGCGTATCTTCAGACTCTTGCGTGGTAGTGTACCAGGGGTTCTATTTGTTGCGCTTTTTGGACTCCCATGGCGACTAGGGAGACGGAAGTGACGTAGGTGTGAATGAACGTTATCTCGACAATACCACGCGTCGATCGGCTTACCGATGTCCGCTGACTTTCATCAGCGAATCTACCAATCAACATCCAGAGAGCATTGTTGACGTCACATCCCTCTCCCTGGTCGCCCTGGGAGTCCAAAAAGCGCAACATAGGACCCCAGGTCACACCGGCGTTTATGGCTCGGCAGTTTGTTTTTGAGCTACCCAGGCGTTCCTTTTTTAGCTACCCAGACTAAACACATATTTTTTTAGAATATACAGGTTTTACTCTTTCCGTCTTGCTATTAATTATTTCTAAATTCAAACTAGCTATTGAGAAAACGATAAGTGAAAGTGATGCCAAAACCGATATTTCCCAGCACTCTCCCTTGGTGTGCCGTCGCATGTATTATAACTAGGATTCAAGGACTTCGGAGTTTATTTCTCGTGAAATTCGGAGCGCGTTTTTGCGGAGTTTATTTTTCGCTGAAAATTCGGGGTTTATCGGAATTTACTTAATTTTTTTATTCCCATTTTTTTAATTTGGAGTTTATTTATTGTATTCTTATATTTTAAAAATGCACAAACAAAATAATCAAAGTCCGGGTACCATGACCCGTTGTCCTGAAGAAACCTGGACGTGCTAAAAGGCAAACCCTTTTTGTTTTTTCGTAGTCCTATAGATTTCAAAGAAAATTGATAAGGCATCACTTCGGGACCAGTGGCCCTGTGCTCTTATGGAGTTTATTTGTAAAAAGCCATCTTTGTTTTGCTTTTAACTTTGTCGTTGCAACCTCGAAATTCGGAATTTCTCATATAAATCTAAATTTCGATACATTTACCGGCGATGTTTTTCGGAGTTTTTCTGATTTATCCGAGAAAAACGGGACCCTAATGATAACCTTAAATGAAAGTCGAGCACGCGGCTCAAAAAACACTATTTTACACTTTTTTTTTACGTGAATTTACCATACTAGCCTAGATTTACTTGCACCTCCTGCACCGGTGCAGAAAAGTGTAGGGCAGTGTACTTCCCGGTCGTATCTCCATACACATACCGGAAGTACACTACCCTACACTTTTCTGCACTGGTGCAGGAAGTGCAGGTACATCGAACGAACCTACCGTTTCATATTACACCATCTGATGTCACGTTTATTAGTGTTGCCAGTATGCTATACTGGCATCACTTAAAATCTCTCTCAACCTCTCTGGCCAGATTCAAAAGAAAAAAACCTTCGCGAAAAAAATGATTCTGACTTGTAATTTTGGTTACTGTGAGGCAAATTAGTGGCAATAAATATTTCACTGCAGTCTAAATATTTGTTTACAATAAAATGTAATAATTTTGAAAACACATAGTTAATCTGATGAGTATGTACAACAGGCAATTTTTTGACGGCGGGGGGGATGGGTATGTACAACAGGCAATTGTTTGACGGCCCCTGCTAGTCAAAATAGGGAGTCGTGAGTAGTTAGAAAATGGCGAATATCTGCACAAAAATCATTAATCCTTTTTTTATTATCTAGAATCGAAGGGCATTGCGCACCACTTTAGTGGTATGAATAGGACACTCTTCCTTCTCCCTCGACGAAGATGTTTTGGTGGCGCCACTTCGCGGGCGACCTCTTCTAACGGAGCTGGTAGGACGTGAGCAGACGACGCGCCATGTCAATGCACGGAGTGGCCATGTTAGTTTGCATTTACGGCGGTTAAAAATAGTTTATTTCTTAAAGAAACTTGTATGACTTTGTTATGAGTGATCTTTCTAATTAATAACAGCGCCTCGAAGTTGCTTTTTATATTAAAAATATTTAAAATGTTCGAAAACAAGTCTGGAGCTTCACTTTATAACTTGCGCACTTTGCCTCGGGGCTATTCACAACCTCTCCCCTTTTTTTTGGGGGGGGGGGGGGTGGGGGGGGGGGGGAAAGGCTGTTGTAGAAAAAGGTTTTGCTTTCACCAGAGTAAATTAGGTGTCTTCTTAGCTGTGCACGCGCACACAGTTGTGTTGCAAAGCGCCGCATATTTGTTTTAGCTACATTGAGCTTGCCGATACCGACGCTTCTATCCAAGTCTGACTCAAGAGTTGCTGCCCAGCAAATGCTCGTCAGCAACTGGGGCTTAGCTCTTCCCGAATCAAATACGAGCGAAGAAGTTTGTCGTTTCGCGACTTCTGCTCGAAAGAGAAGCATACGTTTTCATAAATCCTTATATTGTCGGAAATGGCCCGGCAAATTCAGGCGATTGATTAATTTGTTCTATACAATTTTTATTAGGAATTGTTTACAAATTTAAAATCTCTCGCTGAGAAGCGCATCCCGCATTATGCGAATTTGGATCCGCAAAATCAACATACAGACGGTAGTAAATTCATAGCAGGTGTGCACCTCATTTTGTTTGGGATGCTGAAGTGTCACCGACTTACTGGATTTAAAACTTCGATCGCATGTCTTGCATCGCGTCGACCTGGTAAATAAGCAGGCATTTAATTGAAACGACTCCGGAAGCCAGCCACCGCTTCTTTCTGCCAGTTATTTTTAGAAAATATTTCTTTATTGATTTACAAAATTAAAGAAAAAGAATCAACTTGGAACAAATAAGAGACCAGCACTCGCAGAACACATTGGAACCAACAAAATACACGGAGTTCCTTTCCCTGAAGTGTTTACTACACACGCGAGATGATCTTGATTTGGATTTCTTATTTTCAATTTGATGAGACATTTCTGTGTCAGTTTTATTTCGTCCGAATAATAATAAAAGTGCACTCTATTCGCTGTAGTAGATGTTGTAGTTGGGTAATGCGCTGGATATTCTATTTTCATCATCCAGCTTTTTGTACTGGGGTAGAGAACAGCACACCACCATCCCGACGCTTCAACATTTCAGCCGAAACTGTTTGTTAGCGTGACTACGCTTGCCATGGTTTCAAGCTTTGGTAAAATGTTCTACTACAAATATCACTTCACCAAATAAACACAACGCGTGAAACAGGCTTTGCCGCGCGTTACTCAAACAGCGCATGAAGCGAGATGACGAGCCGTGGGATCCAAGATCTGCGCTGTCTGTCCCAGTCTGTCCTACCCGTGACGTCACAAATGATGATAATGATAGCTAGAGAAGCGTCCCCTGTAGTTTGCACACGCCGCCAATAGCGCGAGTGCCAAGTTGGGGCTAGAGCAACTATGAACTGTAGAACTGCAAAAGCGGTTGCACAAATGCACGCCAAAGCACGTTAAAGACACCATGGCTAGCAGTACTGGATAAATTTCATCTACTGCGTGAACCAGTGTCATCGTACAGGGACAAACCAACCTCAAGCTGCCTGAACAGCTACCGTGGCAATTTGCTTCGCCGAAGCCGGCAGCACAGGGGTGAAAGAAGAGAGTCTGCTGAGCAAACTTTTTGCTGGAGCCAAACTGCCATGGGCAAATACACTTTTGTAATAAAGAATTCCACTCTAGCGGAATCGTCCATGGCACGTCACGCGACCTGACGTCACGTGACTAATGGTGTGAAATCGTGGTACCACGTTATGTCAGGGTATCAATAACGTTACTGGATCCAATAACATAGGTAACATGATGTCGCGGGACACCGCCACATGATACCATGAGTTAATTCCGTCATGTGGCGTGACATCACGGTGTCACGTGACGTTTCCTTGCACCGTGACGTCACATGACGTCAGGTCACGTGACAGGTAACAGAATCGATCACAGGGTGTCAGTAAAAAGAGACCACGATAACCCACCACTTTATTGCACTCAGTTCTGCATATGATCTTTGATCGGTAGATCCGAGTATAGCTGCACATTTTTTTTTCACGTACTAAATAGCTATGGCCAACAAACTTCTTTCAAGCATGCGCTCACCTTGGGTACGAGTCCCTGTAGATGAGGGTAGGGGCGAAGAGGAAATAGAGCACGCTAGGAATGCCAGGCAGCACCAGCTCCTGGCCATTCTCGGGGCTCTTGGCTGCGCGTAAAGAAAGGGGTTGAGAAGTCTCGCTTACTGCTCCGGCGAATTAGCGCAGCGGCGGCAACTTACCTTTGAGTTGGGCGTAAGTGAGCACCCGACCAATCATCTCCCTCACGTACCCGTACACCTTCATGATGAGACGGACCTGTGGGACGGAGGAGAGGATTTCTTGTCGCTTCCTAGCGTGGAAAAACCACAGCCCACAAGACGGTCGAGCATAGCACTCGCCATATACACCTTTCCAAAAAACGCTCCTAGGCCGCCGCCATGTTGCTGATGCGGATGCGGCTGGTGCGACTCTCGCGCCCTCTATCAGCTAGAAATTTCTGCCAATCTCTGGGACTGTGACGACCTGCTCAGCGCGGTTCTCTACCTACGTTTTTGCGGTTTTACATTCGACGTTTTCTCGCCCCTCTTGAAAGTTTCCACTTAATTTTTTTTTTATCCGTGTTGCGTACCCTTTTCGTGTTATCTTCCATTGTGAGAAGTAAGGCTGGGAAGTGCCTGCCATTCAAGCTTTTCTGCTCGACATTCACGTGAAACGAAGGAGGTGAAGGACATCGAACGACCCTCGACGCAATTTTGCGAACATTGTTCTCCCCCCTCCCAGAGATAATCTGCGTAGAATCCTCTCAGTCATCTCCAAAAATAGTTGTCCGGGTTGGGGTGAGAAACGAGTCAGTCGCGCTTGTTTCTTTACCTTGGTGCGGTTGTGAAAAAAGGAAGCTCTCCCCAAAACGTGCCCCAAAATGAAGTCATCTCAGATTCCGTCCGATTGTCAAGATGTGACTGTCGTCGACTGTGACTGTGTTATTTGAGATCTTTCTCAAATAAATTCTTTTGGATAACGCTGCATCGTGTGGTACGTACGATATATTGTTCAAATATTAACACTTCCTCAATTATATGTCCGTGTCCTGTCCATCGGTAAACACGTTATTTGTGAGCGTGAAAAATGCATGACTTTCGGCCCTCTTCTGTTGCAATTTATTTTTGACAGCAAAGCGCTTTGTCGTTTCACATCCGGCGAATCCCGCGGCGCCGTCTAAACTTATCGTAAGAAAAAAAAATAACAAGAACTATTCATTCCAGTCGCATTCGTCCTGTCGCGCGCGTACCCAACAAAAATAGTTACAAGTTTTTTTGGTTTTTTTTTTTGCTTTTTTTTTTTTCAAATGTGGCACAGTGCTTTCTCAATGTCCTCGGGAACATACATGTACCATGAAACACAAAATATAGCGGGAAAATACGAGAATTTAGCCGCCAGCAGCGTTTGAAACTGCGCCTACGCAGGCTGCGCCTATTGAAATCACAGTCCACTCGGTTAGGGTTAGGAGGGATGCCGGTGAGAGTCTAACCTCAAACTCAGTGACTGGGCTCGAAAACGGTTTGTTGCCCCTGGGGTCGAGTGTTTTTTGGAAAGGTGTATACGCACCAACGTGCCAATTATGCAGGGGGACGTGCCACAATTCTTGTTTTTTTACTCGTTGCTTTATTAGAGCGCAGCTCTTAGGCGCCCGTTTCCGTGTTGAGCGGCGTCAGCGTCACCGTATCCGCGCGGTGCATGATGAGTAAATTCCCCGCTAAATTTAGCGCAAAAATATTCCCGCTAAATCTAGCGCAAAATTGTCCCCGCTAAACCTAGCGCAAAATTGTCCCCGCTAAACCTAGCGCAAAATTGTCCCCGCTAAACCTAGCGCAAAATTGTCCCCGCTAAACCTAGCGCAAAATTGTGCCCACTCAACCTAGCGCAAAATTGTGCCCACTCAACCTAGCGCAAAATTTTCCCCGCTAAATCTAGCGGACAATTTTCCCCGCTAAATCTAGCGGGAAACTTTCCCCGCTAAATCTAGCGGACAACTTTCCCCGCTAAATCTAGCGGACAACTTTCCCCGCTAAATCTAGCGGACAACTTTCCCCGCTAAATCTAGCGGAAAGCTTAACCCGCTAAATCTAGCGGAAAGCTTAGCCCTCTAGACCTAGCGGAAAATTTCCCTTCTAAACCTTGCGCAAAATTTTCCCCGCTAAACCTAGCGCAAATTTTCCCCGCTAAATCTAGCGGACAATTTTCCCCGCTAAATCTAGCGGACGATTTTCCCCGCTAAATCTAGCGGACAATTTTCCCCGCTAAATCTAGCGGGAAAAATTCCCCGCTATATTTAGCGGGAAAAATTCCCCGCTATATTTAGCAGGAAAAATTCCCCGCTAAATTTAGCGGGAAAAATTCCCCGTTAGATTTAGCGGGAAAATTTCCCCGCTAAATTTAGCGGAAAAAATTCCCCGCTAGCTCTGGCGGAAAAATTTCCTCGCCAAATTTAGCGGAAAGTGTTCACCTAAATGGGATGCGAGCAGGAGAGGAAGAAAGGCATAGCCCCCTCTCCGCACCTTCACTTCCTCCTCCTCAAGAACTGAGCTCTAATTCGGCATTGCAGAGAGTTGTAAACGGCTTTCATTTTTTTTCTAATGCTTTCGCTGTGAAATGTGCGTTAAACAATACATGCGCCATCATACCTGCTCGAACGCGATGATACACGCAGACAGCGGTGGCAGCTCGTGAACGAACACGTAGCTGGAGGGAAGCACCACGCAGCATCCGAGGTACACCAAAAACAAGGTCGCGAAAACGAAGTCTGCGAGCCCTGTAAAATCCCATAAAATATATGCACGGATCACCTTTCGTCACTAATATTAGTACACTGACTATATAGGCCATGTAGACTATGTAGGCCTGGAAGCAATAAAGGTATCGCAGATTCGCATACATACATTTTGTTGTTCAGCCTATGTTCCACTCTGAATTACCACAAGCATTAACACACGCGGGCACCCTCCGACCTACCTCTTTGCAAGCAGTGTCGACAGGAGCTACCAACGGTCACACTTCTACTTTGTTATGCCCGGCTCTGCAAGCCATTCGCAACAACCAGGGCCTTCTTTACACCGAGCGCCCTGGGCGAAATCCCACCGCTTTTATGAGCCCATATCTACTAGGTGAGACTTCACGTTGCTAGTAAACGTGTGAGTAGTGGCCCAACATGGTTTTGTCGGTTGAGAACCGCTTTCTGAAAACGAACGATAATCGGGTCAATAGCGTGTCGGGCGCTGTGTTCAAATAAATCAATTGGGGGCGCGGCGGCTCTCCCCTGTTGATGGCGGCCTGTGCCCACCGACTAAGGCCGGTACCGGCAACAGCCAAAATCCAGCAGGAATCCGAACCCTCCAAGACAGGATGCACCCCATCGACCATACCAACGAAACACTATCTCGCATTGTGGGCCTTTGCCAAGAAGGTCCATCCCGTCTGCAGAACTTAAGTACTGCTGACGCCCACCCCCAAACAGGCCAAAAAACATCCCGATGCTATAAATTAAGTGTCCTGTTCAGTCATTCACATAACTGAAATTTTGAAGCTGGCAGTACTTACAGCTCTTGGTAACGGTCCGGCAGTGCGCCCATAGCTGGATGGAGGGATGTACCAGGAACAGAATGCTGACGTTGATGCCAACGAGGTACGAGAAGATGGTAGTGATTCCGGTGGAATTCAACACGATGGTCGAGATGTCGTCGTGCAACCTGGCAAGAAAGACGTGGATGACTGCGGCGCGGCCGACGTGGGCTTCTTTGGACCCTTACCTTTGTGGATCGAAGAAATACGATGTGACAAGGATGACGCTGACCAGGAACAGAAAGGCCACGAAGATGTTGAAAACGGTCCTCAGGTGCTCATTGGCCATCAGGTCTCTAAGAGTATGACAGGGACAGTTTTCTTTCTCACGTTATCGTCTGACCTGCTGCGTGTAACTTTCATCAAAGCCTCTAAACATAAAAAAAAAAAAAAAAAACTGCTATAGATGTTTGCGAGTAGCCGCGTTTCGAATGCAGTCTGACCGTTGTGGATGGAAAAACGCTTTGTTTGGGCGCCAGTCTGGAAACCGTGGGTACGCCTCAGCAATGATAAGTGCATTTTAATAACAAAGAGGAGATTGGAAGACTGGTGGAAATTATCGAGGATTGAATGACGTTCAACTAGGCTAGGTGGCGCAAGCTACCGCCCAATATAAAAGGTACAGCCGTGAGCATTCATCCATCCATCCATCCATGCTTGACTGTAAGACGACTATATTCAACACCAGCAGCCAGCTGGCTGCGCCCAGAGGCCGTACTTGCAAACTTTTATAAGCACATCGAATGCTCAATGCACCAAGACATTTTGGGCGCGAGACGTAGCTTTGTTTTTGTTGGCGACAACTTTGAAACGAGGCTGTTGACAGGCGCTTCTCTCTTTCCGGGGTTTTAGAAACATTAGTGCGTTAGTTGACGCCTGCCCATGACGTTATCACATCATACTGGTGGTTATTTATATATACTTGGTCTGGCCAAGAGAAACAAATTCGATGGTCTTATGTCTACTGGATACGGTACGCGCTCGGCATCAGTGCCACCACAATGGAGGCTGATGTCACGAAGCCCTGCATAGTTGACTGAAACCTTCCGAACATTATACTCGAAGAAAAAATGTTATGGAAGAACAGCTTTCTTTCGAAAATATGTTGGTGAAATACTGCCTTGATCTTCGGGGAAGGGATAGTTTTGTTTATTTATTTGACTCGATGAATTTGTTGATCTACAGATGGGTGTTTCAGTCAAAGGTCTTACGTCAGTACTTTGGCAGGACGCCGGGTTTTGATGCTGGGTAGAGGGAAATAGCACCACAGGGGATGCTGCCTCTGGTAATCAACGCATTATTGATTCCCGCGATATCTACCGGAGTTGGTGATTGCAGGACAAGCGGCGACAAAGAAAATGCGGTAGCTTTTTCGGTGGGTGGTACTTTAGTTCGGGTGGTACTAGGGGAGAATGACCCTTAGTCTTTCGGTGCCTGGTGTGAGTGATGCTTTTAGCTCAGGTGATGCCTAGGGCAGGGTTTTGTACGGAAACATTACGTCACACCGTAGTCTCTTGGTGACACTGCGCGCTTCTCTTCAGCACATTCGGAAGCGCGCTTTCCTGCCCTTTCCACATCTCGTTCCGCACGCTCTTTTTAAAGCACCTGTTTCTGCTCCTCTCTTTCTTGCCCTTTCCACCCCTTACGCTCTGCGCGTTTTCTCACACCACCTGCTTCTGCTCCTCCAGTTCCTGTATGCTGGGTCCGTAGCCAATCAGCGCGCATTCGGCTTCCATGTCGGTCATCGGGGTTTGATCCCTGGCACCGGTCCCCATTCTTTTCAAGATTTTTTAGCGGTTACGAACTGACCAAGCTACACATTTTGTGCTTACACGGCTCCTGAGGTTGGTTGGCCCTATAAAGCTAGCGCTTTAAAAACGGGGTGGCTCGACTGAGGCGTGATAAGGCTGGTGCTAGGGCTATACTTTCGAAGGGGCTGAACGTACACTAACCGCACTGGTTGCCAGTCATACAGACCATCACTGAGTTGAAATGTGGTATCGCCTGTAAGTAAAAAGTCATTGATCGCTTTTGGCCTTGATCCGGAAGCGTTCGCACTGTTCGCGAGATGCAGTATACGCGGCGTTACTTATGAGAAGTAGTCGGTGGCGCCAGTGTGTTTGTTGCCAAACGAAAAAGGGTACTCACAGGAAGTGGTAGCGTGAACAGTGAAACACCGGTCATAGCTACATGTGCATTGCAAGTTTTTATCAGGCGTGTGGACGTCTCCTGCACATCTAGGCGTAAAGATGCACGAAACAAGCTCTAACCTTCACCGTTGTTGAGAGAGAGAGAGAGACAAACGCGAGTGACCGGTGACGTTTGAAGTCACTGTACGGAACGTACACTTCACATGACCTACTATATGACGCGTGAAATAAACTATTAGTAGAGTGGATTCGATATAAAATAAAAAAAGGAAAACTTACACAATACGGGATTCTCGGATAGTGAAGATCTTTTCTGGTAGACCTTGACCAGGTGAACTGCAACGAAACCGAGAAGTTTTTCATGCTTTTTTCCCCCTCTATATTGATGTTACGAAAACTCCACCTTTTCAGCGTTTCTAACCGAGGCAAAAAATGCCGAGTCATTCGACTGAACGCATGCGCAGCGTCTCATATTTTGAACACAACTACCGCGCATGCTCAATACGCGTTACACAGTCCCGTTGACAAAGCTTGCAGTGCGCAGAAGGCGGTTATTGGAATGGTCTGCCCGTCGACAGCATATCAGCAATGCTATTGTTTGTTTCTTAGGGGAGAAGACTACGGGAGTTCATCACCCTTACATAAAAGAAATAATTTAATCGAGCTAGTTAGAATTATGTTGCTGTAATTTGAATCGTGCCTCAGAGCGGTTGTCAGCTGACATGCAACTCCACAACTCAAAGCTGCCAGTGGAGCAGGCTGCTGCCTCAAGAAGTTCCCAATGGAAACTTGCAGGAATTTCAGTATTGCAATTCCAATTATATTGAATGTCATAACACCCTGGAAACCATCTAAACAACCAATTTCAGTGAGTTTCTGAATTAATGCAACATAACTCATATTAATCTCACGAAACGACTAGACAAAGGTGGAAAGAGACAACGCGTTCTCAACTCGTGCACTCTAATTATCACCCAGGATGGGTGCGAGGCAATCAGGGTGCACACATTACATCTCTCCCAAGCTGCATGGTCATGTGACTCATGTCCTATCCACGATACGACCATCCGTGTGCGGGGGAACGACCTTTTTTTCCGGAGGTGTGCCTCGCTGGGGGCCTTGGGTGCGGCCTTGTCTTCCGCTGCGCGTTGTTCCCTGGCCAGGGTATCCAGTGCAGCGCCAAGGTTGTCCAGTTCTTCGTTGACGCTGTGGCGTAATCTCTGCAAATTCGCGTAAACAGTTGACCATTTTCAGCCTACGACCGAAGGCAAAGTGACAGCTTGTATGCTTATAGGATGAGGGAAACGTATGTCGGATGAGGGAAACGTATGCCTGGGATGAGTGAAACGTATTCCTGGGATGAGGGAAACGTATGCCTGGGATGAGGGAAACGTATGCCTGGGATGAGGGAAACGTATGCCTGGGATGAGGGAAACTTATGCCTGGGATGAGGGAAACGTAGGCCACGATGAGGCAAACGCATGCCTTCGATGAGGCAAACGCATGCCTTCGATGAGGCAAACGCATGCCTTCGATGAGGCAAACGCATGCCTTCGATGAGGCAAACGCATGCTTTCGATGAGGCAAACGCATGCCTTCGATGAGGCAAACGCATGCCTTCGATGAGGCAAACGCATGTTTTCGATGAGGCAAACGCATGCCTTCGATGAGGCAAACGCATGAGAGATGTGCCTGCGACGAGGGAAAGATGTGCCTGCGACGAGGGAACGATGTGCCTGCGACGAGGGAACGATGTGCCTGCGACGGGGGAACGATGTGCCTGCGACGGGGGAACGATGTGCCTGCGACGGGGGAACGATGTGCCTGCGACGGGGGAACGATGTGCCTGCGACGGGGGAAAGATGTGCCTGCGACGGGGGAAAGATGTGCCTGCGACGGGGGAAAGATGTGCCTGCGACGAGGGAAAGATGTGCCAGCGACGAGGGAAAGATGTGCCAGCGACGAGGGAAAGATGTGCCAGCGACGAGGGAAAGATGTGCCAGCGACGAGGGAAAGATGTGCCAGCGACGAGGGAAAGATGTGCCAGCGACGAGGGAAAGATGTGCCAGCGACGAGGGAAAGATGTGCCAGCGACGAGGGAAAGATGTGCCAGCGACGAGGGAAAGATGTGCCAGCGACGAGGGAAAGATGTGCCAGCGACGAGGGAAAGATGTGCCAGCGACGAGGGAAAGATGTGCCAGCGACGAGGGAAAGATGTGCCAGCGACGAGGGAAAGATGTGCCAGCGACGAGGGAAAGATGTGCCAGCAACGAGGGAAAGATGTGCCAGCAACGAGGGAAAGATCTGCCAGCGACGAGGGAAAGATCTGCCAGCGACGAGGGAAAGATGTGCCAGCGATGAGGGAAAGATGTGCCAGCGATGAGGGAAAGATGTGCCAGCGATGAGGGAAAGATGTGCCAGCGATGAGGGAAAGATGTGCCTGCGATGAGGGAAAGATGTGCCTGCGATGAGGGAAAGATGTGCCAGCGATGAGGGAAAGATGTGCCAGCGATGAGGGAAAGATGTGCCAGCGACGAGGGAAAGATGTGCCAGCGACGAGGGAAAGATGTGCCAGCGACGAGGGAAAGATGTGCCAGCGACGAGGGAAAGATGTGCCAGCGACGAGGGAAAGATGTGCCAGCGACGAGGGAAAGATGTGCCAGCGACGAGGGAAAGATCTGCCAGCGATGAAGGAAAGATCTGCCAGCGATGAGGGAAAGATCTGCCAGCGATGAGGGAAAGATCTGCCAGCGATGAGGGAAAGATGTGCCAGCGATGAGGGAAAGATGTGCCAGCGATGAGGGAAAGATGTGCCTGCGATGAGGGAAAGATGTGCCAGCGATGAGGGAAAGATGTGCCAGCGATGAGGGAAAGATGTGCCAGCGATGAGGGAAAGATGTGCCAGCGATGAGGGAAAGATGTGCCAGCGACGAGGGAAAGATGTGCCAGCGACGAGGGAAAGATGTGCCAGCGACGAGGGAAAGATGTGCCAGCGACGAGGGAAAGATGTGCCAGCGACGAGGGAAAGATGTGCCAGCGACGAGGGAAAGATGTGCCAGCGACGAGGGAAAGATGTGCCAGCGACGAGGGAAAGATGTGCCAGCGACGAGGGAAAGATGTGCCAGCGACGAGGGAAAGATGTGCCAGCGACGAGGGAAAGATGTGCCAGCGACGAGGGAAAGATCTGCCAGCGACGAAGGAAAGATCTGCCAGCGATGAGGGAAAGATCTGCCAGCGACGAGGGAAAGATCTGCCAGCGACGAGGGAAAGATCTGCCAGCGACGAGGGAAAGATGTGCCAGCGACGAGGGAAAGATGTGCCAGCGATGAGGGAAAGATCTGCCAGCGATGAGGGAAAGATCTGCCAGCGATGAGGGAAAGATCTGCCAGCGATGAGGGAAAGATCTGCCAGCGATGAGGGAAAGATCTGCCAGCGATGAGGGAAAGATGTGCCAGCGACGAGGGAAAGATGTGCCAGCGACGAGGGAAAGATGTGCCAGCGACGAGGGAAAGATGTGCCAGCGACGAGGGAAAGATGTGCCAGCGACGAGGGAAAGATGTGCCAGCGACGAGGGAAAGATGTGCCAGCGACGAGGGAAAGATGTGCCAGCGACGAGGGAAAGATGTGCCAGCGACGAGGGAAAGATGTGCCAGCGACGAGGGAAAGATCTGCCAGCGATGAAGGAAAGATCTGCCAGCGATGAGGGAAAGATCTGCCAGCGATGAGGGAAAGATCTGCCAGCGATGAGGGAAAGATCTGCCAGCGATGAGGGAAAGATGTGCCAGCGATGAGGGAAAGATGTGCCTGCGATGAGGGAAAGATGTGCCTGCGATGAGGGAAAGATGTGCCTGCGATGAGGGAAAGATGTGCCAGCGATGAGGGAAAGATCTGCCAGCGATGAGGGAAAGATGTGCCAGCGATGAGGGAAAGATGTGCCAGCGATGAGGGAAAGATGTGCCAGCGACGAGGGAAAGATGTACCAGCGACGAGGGAAAGATGTGCCAGCGACGAGGGAAAGATGTGCCAGTGACGAGGGAAAGATGTGCCAGCGACGAGGGAAAGATGTGCCAGCGACGAGGGAAAGATCTGCCAGCGATGAAGGAAAGATCTGCCAGCGATGAGGGAAAGATCTGCCAGCGATGAGGGAAAGATGTGCCAGCGATGAGGGAAAGATGTGCCAGCGATGAGGGAAAGATGTGCCTGCGATGAGGGAAAGATGTGCCAGCGATGAGGGAAAGATGTGCCAGCGATGAGGGAAAGATCTGCCAGCGATGAGGGAAAGATGTGCCAGCGATGAGGGAAAGATGTGCCAGCGATGAGGGAAAGATGTGCCAGCGACGAGGGAAAGATGTGCCAGCGACGAGGGAAAGATGTGCCAGCGACGAGGGAAAGATGTGCCAGCGACGAGGGAAAGATGTGCCAGCGACGAGGGAAAGATGTGCCAGCGATGAAGGAAAGATCTGCCAGCGATGAGGGAAAGATGTGCCAGCGATGAGGGAAAGATGTGCCTGCGATGAGGGAAAGATGTGCCTGCGATGAGGGAAAGATGTGCCTGCGATGAGGGAAAGATGTGCCTGCGATGAGGGAAAGATGTGCCTGCGATGAGGGAAAGATGTGCCTGCGATGAGGGAAAGATGTGCCTGCGATGAGGGAAAGATGTGCCTGCGATGAGGGAAAGATGTGCCTGCGATGAGGGAAAGATGTGCCTGCGATGAGGGAAAGATGTGCCTGCGATGAGGGAAAGATGTGCCTGCGATGAGGGAAAGATGTGCCTGCGATGAGGGAAAGATGTGCCTGCGATGAGAGAGACGTATGCCTACAAAAATGGAAACATGCCTACAAGAAGGGAAACAGGCCTACAAGAAGGGGAACGCATGCCTACAATGAGGGAAACGTATGCCTACAATGAGGGAAACTTATGCCTACAATGAGGGAAACTTATGCCTACAATGAGGGAAACTTATGCCTACAATGAGGGAAACTTACGCCTACAATGAGGGAAACGTGTGTGGAATGAGAGAAACCTATGTGGAAGGAGGGAAACCTATGTGGGATGAAGTGTATGTGGAATGAAGGAAACTATGTGGAATGAAGGAAATGTATGCGGGATGAGGGAAACGTATGCGGGATGAGGAAAACGTATGTGGCATGAGGAAAACCTATGTGGCATGGAGGAAAGCGTATATGGGACGAGGGAAACGTATACGTGGGATGAGAGAAACGTATGCGGGATGAGAGAAACGTGTATCCATGTGTGTTGCGAGATTAATGTTCAGCGACGTTTGGTCAGGTCGCAAATAAGGAATTCGGACCTCTAATGAAAACTCCTGAACTTCTGCTTACCGAGATGCTGGCCTTGAGGCAGATGAGCTGCTCTGCAAACCCGCTTGGCTCCATGGTGGAGCGCCCCTCCAACGGGCAGATAGACGACGCCCCACAAAAAGTCTGCTTCGGCCCTTCACCTGAGGAAAGAGCGGTTCTGTTGTGATTACACAAATTTATTGAGTTTTTAGAGTGCAGCTCTTAGGGGCCCGTTCCCGGCTTAAGCGGCGTCGGCGTCGCCGTCGCCGTCGGCGTCGGCGTAACCAAGGTCATCCCAAGGTCACTTGACCCCCAAGGTCACGTGACCCCAAGGTCACCCTAAGGTCACGTGACCCCTCCCCAAGGGTCATCGGGGGTCACGTGACCCCTTCCCCAGGGTCGCGTGACCCCCAAGGTCACGTGCCACCCAAAGTCACGTGGCTCCCCAAGTCACGTGATCCCCGGGGTCACGTGACCCCCGATGACGTCATCAGTGACATCACTGATAACGTCACCGGCATCGGCATCGTCATCATCACTGATGACGTCACCGGCATCCGCATCGTCATTGTCATCATCACTGATGACGTCATCAGTGACGTCACTAATGACGTCACCGGCATCCGCATCGTCATCGTCATCATCACTGATGACGTCACCGGCATCCGCATCGTCATCATCGCTGATGACGTCATCAGTGACGTCACTGATGACGTCACCGGCATCCGCATCGTCATCGTCATCATCGCTGATGACGTCATCAGTGACGTCATTGATGACGTCACCGGCATCCGCATCGTCATCGTCATCATCACTGATGACGTCACCGGCATCCGCATCGTCATTGTCATCATCACTGATGACGTCATCGGTATCTGCATCGTCATCGTTACTGATGACGTCATCGGCATCGTCATCGTCACGTGACCCCCCTAGGTCACGTGACCCCCACCCAAGGTCACTTGACCCCCCAGTACCCTTCCCTCCTCCTCCTCAAGAGCTGCGCTCTAATTCGGCGTTACAGGGAGTTGTAAACGGCTTCCACTTTTTTTTTAATGCGTTAGCATTTATTGCCCTGTTGCGTGCAGCCGTCTTTCCTTTGATCAGTCATGGTTCGGACTGGACTGGTCCCGTGAGGTTCACGCCGTGCTCTTTCTCTTCGTTTGTTCGCTCGTTGCGTTATCATTCCTTCTTACCTAAGAGGGAAACATATACTTCTCGTTCGGTTCCAAAGACACGCCGCTGTTGACGAGCACTCCTCCCCCCGGGAAGTAGGCATTAGGCTTCGTTTCTCTGGTGTGCGCAACGTACGTGACAACGCAAGGCCGAGTCGCAGCGACCACTCCGTTTGCGCGAAACCGCCGACACCCGGCGGGTAAGATTTGCTCTTCGAAGACAGCAATATGCAGACTGTGGGCGGTGATCGAGGAAAGCTGTGGGGACTTCATCCCAGAAACCGCCGACGCCCGGGAAAACAGACTGGCTGTCTGAAGACAACAAACTTTGCTCTATAAATGCTAACGGATTTCGTCGAGAAGCAGTATAGCGACAGTGTGGCGACTTCGGCATCGTTTTCTTTACGTTGAACCAGTTCATATCGAATCTAGAACGCATTTGACGAGACAATATGCAAACGCGTAGAAACATGCGGCCTGGTTTAAGTTGCCGACGGAAACCGCTTGGTGGACTATAGACGAGCCTCGATGTACTGTTTCGTTTAAGTTGGGTTTAACTGGCAAGTATATTTAAACACGGGATACACTTTCAGTGCTTTCAGTGTTAACTGTTTATTTGGAAACAGAAAAACTTCATTTTCTACTCTCATTTGTTGTCCCGTGCACACGTTACAAGTTCTCCTAAACTTCCACCTATTTTTTTTTGTGTGTGTGTACGTGCCGGGTATTTTCCAAACGCCGTATCTAGGAAACCATCGAGCATCTTGAACAGGTGCTCTTCTTTGTCTTACAAGGTCGACGTCGATAAGCCGATTTCCCAAGCCAGAGGAAAGGGAAGCCAGTCGTGGTATTCTTGTTGGAACTTCCCTTCCGGTATAACACACGGGCGACATTCCCTTGCAGACTTTTATTGCCTCCGTTGCTCACTGTTCTTCGAAGCGAACGCGTCTGTGGGACGGGCTTCGAGTGAAATGAACTTCGCCGATGAATGCAATTTTAGAACCGAGTAAGAACCGAGCCGTGCTTTGCCCGCTCCGCGAAACACAAGGTACACATTTATCGCATCTGCCGCTATATTCCGAGTGCACATAATTTTATTCCTGAATATTTTTTCCTCTATTTTTTTTTAATTTTTGAGGGCCGCGGGGGGGGGGGGGGGGGGGGGGGGGTTGGTTTGTCAAGGATTGCAGCTTGCGCTGTCGCATCTCGCACCCTCTAAGCGTGTCGTACGCTCTAAACGAGAAATGTATAATAAACCCACTTTTTCCGATTAAAAACAAATGTATATATATATATATATATATATATATATATATATATATAATCATGAATAACACATGTGCGCGTTCTTTATTTAATTTTTTAATGAAATGAATGGCAGTGATTAGGCACTTAAAATGTTTTACCTTGAATACTGCTAAGCAGTGTTTGCTGCTACTATTTTCTAGTTACAACTTGTTGATAAAGGCCCGTTCACACTCTTGCAACCGAGTACGACTGAGAGAGACGAGATCTCTTAAAACTTCTTAAATGTTTTTAGAATGAGGGAACACACCGGCATTGTGGCGCCATCTATGCGGTGAGCCTGGAACTGCATTTCACAAGAGCGAAGGTTTTGCGGGATTTCCGAGGTCAAATGTGCGTAATACCCATAGAAAGGCTCGTTTATAACATTCACAAAAGTAGTTTCGAGCCAAGAAAGAAAGGATAATGCGCGAGTTTACACTGCTTCCCAATAGATGGCGTCAGTGTGTTCTCTGGTTTAAAGCCCCTTGATAAAGGTGTTTACACGTGCCACTAGCGGGTGCTCCGCCGCCATTCGCTTCCAAGGGCCGCTCATTTCAGTGCTACACCGCCATTTGCTTCCAAGGGCCGCTCGAGACCTGGGCCACGTGCGCTCGCGCATTTGGCGCTACTTGCAAAGACAAACGAAAGCATATCGAGGGGCTTTACTCTGGTTTAAGAAGTTTTAAGGAACCCAGGTTTAAGAGGTCGCAAGAGTATGAACGGGCCTTTACTGTTTACAGTTTTTTTTTTTGTTTGTAAATTTAATATCACTCCAAGTGTATATTTTCTTTGTTTGAACAATGAAAACACTCCAAACGCATTCGAAAAAAAAAAAAAAAACGTTTAGGGCTTTATTTTTTTAAGGAACTAGCTCACAATCGAACAGGAACTCTGAAGGTCAATATATGGTTTGCCCTTACGCGCATTGCGTTAGTTTTCTTATCGCGTCCCGCAAGGCAAAATAAAAGATAAAACAATCTGAAGTAGCGCATAAAATATACATAAAAAAGACAGACAATGCACATACTCAGAAACAAAAGGGCTTGCTCGGTACCTGCCTTTCTTTTTATCGAGTCTCGGCAGGATTGCCATCAGACTATTCACCGCTTCGTCCGGAGATAGGAATGGGCCCTGCATCATGCATACAACCTCGAATGTCGGCGGCTTTTGTTTTCGTCGTTTACAAACCTGGCTTCGACTCGGATTCGACCGGTTTCTCCTATCATGGTCGTTAGCGAGAGATTACAGCCTGTCAACCTCACCGATAGAGGTCCGCCTGTGGGCAACGAGCCAACCGAAATTGCTGGTTGTCAATAAACCGATCTCACCAGCCAGTTACGACCACGCCACCGCTGCCACAATGCACTCACCGCTCATTCACACTGGAAGCGGATCCGCGTTCGCAAAGCGGTTGCGAACGCGGTTGTATAAAGATCCAGTACAATTGCACGCGCACTCGATGATGTCAAGTGCGCGTGCAATTGTACTGGGTCTTGTGAACTAAAGTTATGGCGGCGCCACGCATGCGCCGAACGCTTAGTGAAACCAATCTATAGGGAGTATTCACTAATGGCCATATCCGTGTGCGCTGCATGCTGAGCACGTGCTGACGGCGAGCTTCCGCAGTCCTTTTGGAGCGTGCATTTAGCACCATCAGGGTTGCCGGTCTTAGCAGGCTATTAATCTGAGCTCGTTCTGAGCGTGCGCTCTAGACATCGCCCTCAAATATGGCGTCCAGTGAATACCTCCTATTCGTTGTACAAAAAGAAAAAAACAAACAAAAAAACTTGTTTTTAAGTACAGCAGCGTGCGGGGGTGATAAGCAGCTAAAATGAACGCAACGGGCACGTCAGCTGTTCTTTTTGGTACGCAGAGTACGACGAATTCGCCGGGGAGCGAACGTCTCCTATCGTGAAACCCAGTGATAACAGGATCGTCTCGGCATTGTTGGAGTCGTAGGGTTGAGTCAGCTGTGTTTCAAAATAATCGGAGAGCACTCGCAGATGCAGTCGCGATATGCTCGGATGTTTCCAAAAAAGAAAAAAAAGAAACGTTTCGGAATGTCGTTTTTATCTTCTGGAATTGTTCCACCATAGACCGGGATGTAGCACGTACAATTACTGCATGAAGACAGGAGGGCGGAGCGACGAAACGGCTCGTACTTTGCGAAAGTCCGATTCATAGGCTCGTTCGATTTACCTACATGGTGCAGAAAACTGCAGGGCAGTGCAGTTCCAGTGTGATTCAACCGGAAGTACACCACCCTACACCCGTTCAAATTGCTCACGGCACAGGCACGGCCATTCGATTAGGACTCCCCTTGTGGCCGTGGCACAGGAGTCACTGTCCCACGCGCAGAGAAAACGCCGCCGGGTGAAATTCGAGGCTTTTTCTGCTCCATGAAGCCCAGGTTTCTGACGAGGCAATGGAGCGTTCCTGTGCAAAAAGCTGTAATGTTTTAATTGCTTGGAGGCGAACATTTATGACATTATATATCTTTTTCTCTCGCGTATGTTCCGACACGCACTCGCACGCAAGAGCGAGAGAGAGAGAGAGTTGGACGAGGTAGCCGTTTTCTTTTCCATTCCCCTGTATTGTTTATTAGAAATGTCCGAAATGTCGGGGCGTTGACCTGTTCGTCGAGTAAATTTCAGCGTGTCGACTCTCGTAGCCAGCAGCGCAGTTTGCTCTGGAGATGACCAAACACTTGAGCACGAGCCTGTCAGAAGTTCATTATCGCTCTTTAGTGCACACACACTCTGCTTAGATATGCAAACTGATATAGGGGGGCCAATCAGTGGTGTGATCGATCGGCTCAGCTTTAAAAGTCCTCGTAACTGTCATTCTGGCAGGATAAGCAGCACTTCTTATCGATTCCTGGAAGCGAAACGCACGCCGACTGCCCGGACCATTGAAACGAGACAATGTATATATATATCGCTCACGTAGGAATTCGAAGAGCCCTTGATGTAGATCGCGCAGTGTGGAATCTCTTGCTTGGCCGATTACGACCACGCGCACTGTTGACGGTGTTAACGGGCGCACAATGGACGATAACTATTTCCGATTACTTTTGTACATCATGTACCGCGGGATACTGGAAGGAAAACGTACGATGCTTGCTTGAGCTTTCAGCGGAATCCTACTAGTCTGACGAAGGCGCAGATTTGCAAAGGGTCAAACACTAAAAAAACAAACATTTTTTTTTGTTTTTGCTTTTTTTTGCTTTTGTAATGTGTTTTTAAGATAGGAAGAAAGGGGAGGGGCACTGTCTGTTAGTACGCAGCGCCGCCACTCACCCTTTCCTGTCACGCGCTCCGAGTGGGTTTTTCAGATGGTTATAACTAAACCGTTCACTGTCGTTATTTAAAATATTTAATCTTAGACATGCTGTCTCTGCGCAAGTGTAATAATATATCTTTCTTATCACAGCTTGCGCGAAACTGGGCGCTTTGGTGAACAGCCTAGCCAAAGCTCTCCGCTATCAAACGTCGTCGCTTCCGATTTCTCCCCAACCTAATTCGTAAAATGGCGGCGTGTCAAGGAGCCTCGCATTCGTATCAAAGGGTCATCGTACCCACACTCGTTACGAAGGAGAGCGCTCGCGCTTCGGTTAAATCTCGCCGAAGGGGCAGTCGGCACTGTCGGCATTCGGACCAATCGTAAGGCTTCAAATGTTTGTACTAAAAAGTTTCGAACATATATTAAGGGAGCTGAGAACGTCTTTCAGCCAGAACTAGACTAGAACGGCTGAGTTCTAGTTGAATTTTGTAGCATTACGGCTACCACTGCTGCGCGTGTACTCGCCGTTAACTATTTTGTGCTGTTGTCAAGGCTGTCGTCGCTTCCCCGGGGCTCCAACTCTGTCAAAGTGTTGCTCGAGCGCATGCTACTCAGACACAATACGGAGTTCTAGTAGACCGTTTTCAAAGACCCGCTTCGGCTACGGGCGCGCGCTTCAGAGTATGCATCGAAGTGGCAACTAACCTGAAAACACGATATACTAAAACTCTCTAATATATGAAGCCATGAACGTGGAAGTATAGCCTCGACGATGTAGCGGAAAATAGTTGACGCCACGGGTAAATCCTGCAGGTTAGTTGCCGCATCGCACTGGATTGCCCTTCCGCATTGGTGACACATCGAGCCACTACATCGTTAGATGAAAGCAGACAGACTGACTTCGTGTCGTATAAACGCGTGTGCAACAAATTTGACTCAAATAATAAGCGATCGCTAAGAATTTCAGGCTCTCTTATCGCCATGTTCTAGATCTGTATATATACAGAGAGTTCCCGAGGAAACAGAACCGTGTTTTTCGGCCCGAGTATGTCGACTATGCATCGCTGAAAGCTGGAACTTCACGAGGGTGTGACGCTAGCGGTTGGGATGGAACGCAAACGTTTGAGAACATGACGGTATGCCTGGATCAAAGGATAATTGAGGAAATCAAATTTTCTTTAGAAGCCGACGTGCCCCCCAGGCATCTGATATCGTCAAAACTAGGAATGTCATTGTGTGCACCTGTGGCGTCTAGTGACAAACACTTGTCAGCAAGAAAAAAAAAACAATATTATCTTTATTGCTCGCAAGTGTCTTTCGCTGTTATAAATTCCACAAGAAAGCACAATGCCAGATATTGGTTTGATGATATTAGTCCGAGGTTGACGTCCGCTTATAAAAAAAATTTAGTTTTTCTCCATCTTTTTTTTTTTTTTTAATCCAGGTTACGTCGTGTTTTTGAATTCTATGCCAAGTGTTAACGTCAAATTCTCACGACGTTTGAGCTTGCTGCGATGCATAGTTTACATACCAGGGCCGAAACACTCATTCCTGGGAGCTCCCTGTAGATTGTGACCAAGGCTATTTTTGGAAGGATGGCACGTAACATCTTGGCTGTGTGTATAATAAGCTCCATTCGTCTCCTAAGCAATACCGAGTTCGAATACAATTGTTGTAAAAATCGTTAGCTTCTTTTTTTTTTTTTTTCTCAATATAATATAATTCAGCTCCTTCCTCAGAAAAAAAACTCATTTTGTATAAATCTTCTCTGTTTAAAATTGGATAACGCGTCATCGGTATGGGATCGCGACCATCAAAATCTGATCACTACGTTGCAGTGCTGAGCAGTTTCGCGATACAATTGTATCGCGATAGTATTTTTGATAAACTTTCGTGTATCTGTACCTCTAACGAGATGCACTAAGAGCATGTATTTATATAACAGTAGTGAAGTAGTACATTTGCGACGTATTGAATGTACCGCGGTACTGTGCCAGGCTGTGTATCTCGTCACATTCATTATTGAACATTAACGAAAAAATAGCAGCATAATGTCTTTCCACTTAGCTGACGGAACGCTAGAAAGCAGGGAAGTGGAGAGGAGATCACCAATCATGTACAGTAGAGAGCTTATGAAAAAAAAAAGCTTATCTTCCTCTTGTGTCGCTTTAATTTTTGCTTGCCTACTTTTTTAAATGTGAAACAATTCCAAGGCTGCATGCGCGAGCTGTTCGTTGAAGGATGCACCTCGGCTGCGCGAACCCGATTAGCAGGAGCAACTGCAAAGGATAAAGCTACAATCTCAAAACTCCCATCTTATGAAAAGACAATTATTTGTTCAGAGAGGTGGAATAAAAATTCTCAGGAAAGCAAGAACTGTCAAACTAACTGATTGTTTCCAGACGCATGTTGAGCTTGATTAATTCCTGAAGGAATTGAGCAACGGAAACGACAGTGTACCGGCCCTCTTGTTCTATTAAAAATGCCAGCTCTAAGGGGACGACGTCATTGAATTCTTGTTATCACGTCAAGTTAGGGCCCAAAGTAGTCATATAAACAAATCAAATCTAAAGATGCCACTGGCTAAACTGAGTTTACAAAAAGCATAGAGCATCTTACGTTGGCCGTTGACCTTTTCGGAGTGGGCTATCTGACCCACACACTCAAACGAGTTCGAGACCACTGATCTATAGGGTGCCGTGCAGCACGGAAGTTTGTTTTCGTTGTTCAATATCCCCGCCCCGGGTGGCCCAGAAGCACTTTCTACCAGTTTGAAACGCACGTTCACAGCAAAATAAAGATTCACTACGGGCAGACGCCGTTTGTAAAGAATGACAGGCAATCGCTGGCCTCCAGTATATATGCGTATGGACCACTGAAGGCGATGTGTTATTAATTAGCGGCATTCAGGATGGTAGCTAGGAATAGATGAAGCGTTTGAGGTAACCCGATGTGCATAAACCGAGACAGAGACGAACGCAAGCACTACCTTTAGCATTCACTACGAACTGCACCCTCAGCCCCTGCCAACATTTGTGTGTGTGTGTGGGGGGGGGGGGGGGGGTCAACATATTTGTATGTATTTTTATTTTGGGATACTTCTCGCCATTTTCGCAGAAGTATCTAAGCTTTCTAAGGTATATCCTGTTATATAAAAGACAAATGTATCTCAGTATCTGCATCTTCGCCCTCAAATACATTTGTCTCTGCATTTATTTTCTCGAATACTTTTTGGTGTATCTCTTCGCAGCCCCGACATTGGAAACTGGGCAGCTCGCTTCATTAATTGTCATCGTACGGCCGGTGCAACTAACTTTGTCATCCCGCCGTAAAACCGTAAAAATGCGCCTTTGTAAATTCTACAAGTTTTGTCGTCCTAACCCATTCCTCCGTCACAGACTCATTTTTGAACCGCCTCATTGCTCTCAGCTCGTCTCGATCACATAAAGTTGGCATACCAAGCCTTACCACTCACACATTCGACATTTCATGTATGCCTCGAACACCACACGACTGGAACCACCTTCCCGCTTCCGATGTTGCTCTTTTTAAACAAACTCGCTTTACTAACACCCTTTGTTGGTTTAATTGCCATCTTTTCTGGTGCGTTCACTCCCCTCTGTAATGTAGCTTGAACCTTGAGAGTCGATAAATAAATATTTTCGAACTGAAATCGGTCCCGGCCCTATTACAACGCCATAAGTTCACGGATGAGCGTTGATACCGGAGGAAATCGTGCCTCAACCCTTCGCACATGATAATAAAGTTGTTGCGCACGATTTCTCAAAAAGGTAAACATCGCTATTTTATCAATGACGGGAGTAAAATGCGCGGTTTTCCGGTTTATTACGTCAATAAATGTTTTCACGGAAAAATGCATACACTACAGGTAACAGTAAAAATTAAAAAAAAAAACGACTTTCTTTGGAAGCTTTATTGATCGAGTGTTGCTTCCCAAGGCTCTTAGCAACACAAAACTCGAGAAAAAAAAATCCAAGAAGATTCGGCTTTACGCGACGAGTGAAAACCAACTTTGCGACAACATTCCGTTCGCTTCACGCTGAGCCGTCAACGCGCTGACGCACGTAGCGTAGTGGTACGCGCACACGGGCACGTCGCGACGCTGCCACCGCTCACTCACCTCAAATCAGCGTCCCGCGTGCAGCGTCCCCGTGAACGCAGACCTGTCTCGGGGGCCGGTGATAGCGGCACACAAAAGCACGGGCGCACTACGACGACAGGCAGCAGCAGCGACGAGTTCGAGCAGCCGCCCCCTCGTCCAAGAAAAAACGGCGGAACTGACGTGTCGGCGGACATCAACCTACGATACCGCCGCGCGATTGCTGCGCCCCTCCCCCTCCTTGTGCTCTCTGTGTCCCGTTGCTGCGTCGTCGTCGAGTGCAACAGCACCGGGCAGCGATTAAACCGTCCTTCCCCGTCAGATTGGCAGACGGGGACAATCCACGGGGACGGAGCGGTAATCCCCTTCGGCCGTCCAGGGGTTTCCCCAGGAATTGAAATTAGGGGGGGGGGGGGGGGGGGGGGGGGGGGCATTGAAAACATAGGATTAGTTGTGAATTAAGGGTGCCCCCTTCGGAAAACCAAGGGGGGGGGGGGAGGGGGGGGGGGAGGTGTGTAGGGAAATCACTGCTGCCGTCTCGGCAGGATCTGCTCCTGCCGGAGCGCTGGGGTCCGTGAAGCACCAGAAATGGCAGTCATGACATTAGTGTAATGAACGTACAGTAATTAAAATACGTTTTCTGGTAGCGAGTAATGTGTATAATTACTTTTTAGGTTAGTAATTTGGCAATCTAATGAATTGCTTTCAGGCATAATGTTGAGCAAATTACTCATTACTTTTGAAATTACTTTTGTCCCTACTTGGACAGTTTATTTGCGAGCTCTAAGACATAAAAAAAATATATATATATATATTTTTCGTGTTGGAATGTTGTGACAAAGACATGGGAGCAAATAAACGACGGCAACGTGAGCGAAACGCCTCGCACGATGATCGGGACAGAGGCACCAAGGCGGGCTCGAAAGGCGAAGGGGATGGAGAAAAGCTTACGTGTAAAGACATCGCTGGAGCCACGGCTCACAGACTCTAGGCAAGAAAGATTCACGGCGTCACGTCATCCCGACGGTACAGTGCTTCGTTCATTCCTAAGCTGACAGTGCGGTGAGAGTTACGAGATCACCGAAACCAATCGACCAATCTTCCTCTCATCACCTGACCCCTTCTTTGTGTGAATAGCGCTTGTGTTGTGTCTGTCCCTGTCTTGTTGCGCTTTTTTAAAGAGAATCTTTTCTGCGTGTGGGTATGAGCGAGAGAGCGAGTTACTTGGCTTAAAGTAGACGTGTGACTAGTCCAACGAGCACGTAGCTTCCACTGCACTGTCATCTTAGGGGCGAACGGCTTATAGAGGCTACATTGCGAAGAACACGTCACCGGTGAGCTCGACATATTTTAAAACCTGAGAAAACAGGACACGGAGATCCCCGGCCCTGGCCTTTCGTCTCAAGAGTCCAGAACGTTTCGCGCGTTTCGTTAACCTTAGTTAAAAAAAAAAAAAAAATGTAGTTGGGAAAGACGGGAATCCAGCAAAGCCGGTGCCACTCGCGGTATGCCCCTCTGCCTTCCCTTGGGAAATTTATTCGGGAATGAGCAAAGGACCAGCCGTCGTCTCCCGTTTGTTTGGTAAGTACGCATGTTAGGCAGTGTCGTACACGTTCCTCAAGAAAAGGAACGCAAGCTCGTTTCTCGTTCCTTCAGATTTTTTGAACGCGTTCCCGTTACAAGTTCCCTATGTGAAAAGAGAACTCGTTCTTGTTACAGCTAAAAAATGGAACGTGTCGTTACATATGCGTTACATTTGTATTTTGCTGATTACCATATTTAGCTAGATAAAGCAAAAGTTTTTTTAATCTATCCCATTAATTGGCAACATGCGAATTTGAATGCCGTGATGGAAAGGCACCAGGAGAATAAAACAAGCGGAAGCAGAGTTTCATTTGTTGATATATTCACCTTTAAAAATCTCAACTTTTAACCATATTCATATTTGTGGTGGGCGATTCAGACGAGCCAAATGTACTGTTACCCCACATTGCACGAGCGTTTTACAACAACCTCACTCGTTTCAATTTAACAGAGTCCCTTGTTCGAACTTAACAACAGTTGCTTCTCGATGTTGCCGTCCTGCAAGACAAGCAAGTGAAGCAGAGGGTAGCGCTTTTGAAGATCAGTCTCGAAGAACACAGTCTTTCTTCGTAAAGGTTGAATTCGTTGTTCAGTTTGAAGGTGGGAAACAAGGGAAGAAGGAATAAAGCTTATTTTTTGCGTATCTTTTAAGTGACGAATGTTCGGGATACGAGGGTGCGTTCGATGTCTGCTAACCTGTACTTTTGTTGTAAGTGTAAGTCTCTTTGTGGAAGTTCAGTGATGGCTGTAGTCGGCCTTAAATTTGTGGATGTATCAGGATTCGTGGAAGCAAAGAAAGTAGCTGGGTTTGAAACGTCCCTCCTTCTGTGTCTTTTCTTTCGACTAAAAGTTTTGCTTTTTGTACCGCAGTCTCTGGCACTGCCAGAAAAGGAATCGATGTCCGCTAGCTCTTTTGCACCCGACTGTCACCAAGTGGGGTCCACATAAAATAAACCCTAAGATAAGTAACCAAAGAGTTAACGAGATCCTGTTATTCGTAAGTATATTGTTTTTGTACTCCTAGAATTTCCCTCTTGAAAATGAAATCAAAATTACGCCACTGGACGAAAAAAGGAACGCCGTTGCTTTTTTCGATCTAGTAAAAATGTAACGAGTTCCCGTTCCAGTTCCACCGATGCAAAATGGAACGGCTGCGTTCCTTCGTTCCTCCAAAAAGGAACGCGTTCCAGGAACGCCGTTTCGTACAGCATTGATTAGGAAGCACGCGCCGTCCCTTCCCTCAACTGGCGGCGACTCTGCCCACCAGACGTCCAGCTTCATGTGACAACGCGCAATGCGTAGAGCAAGTCGTCTGCTTCTTGCGCAGGAGTTGCAGTGACGTCAGAAAGGCGCCGAGCTCTGATTGGCTCTGATTGAAGGATAGTGGGTAGACCTTAAAGCAAGCTGTCTTGAGGTCGACCCACTATTCTTCATTCAGAGCCAATCAGAGGTCGGCCTCTCCCTCACGTACCCGCAAGCCCTGCAAAACAAGCAGACGAACTTGCACTCTGCATAACTTGGGCTCTTCGGGGGTTTTGGAACAACCCTCCTCGATGTGAATGACCGGGAACGCGGAACCTGGGAGAAAATAATTAGACGGCGTCGGGAGTCGGATGGGAAACGTTTTACATGACTTTCTGTAAGAACGAGCTCCCATGGCTGACACGTACTGTAACTTGTTCGAGGTCAGGAAGATGACATCATATGTCACCCTTTAACTAAGGACCTCCGCCGTTGAACGAACAGCAAAACCGGCGAGTCGACTGTCTTTGAGTCACATCTAAAGAAGAAGCTATATTCATCATATTTAACAGTTCTTCCGTGTGCGCTAGCGAAACGACTGTTCGGTATGGTTCATTTGGAGGCGCATAAGACTGTTGCAATAAAAAACAAAAAAAGCTAAAAAAACGAGTTCTCGTACATATATAGTAAAAAAAAAAATGAGCAGGAATTACTGCCCCACGTTATTAAAAAGTAATGTTAATGTAATTGCACTACTTGAAGCTAATTTTGACCCTCTTTTCTACACATATTTCTTTCCCAGAGGAAACTTATATATGTATTCCAGTAACACCTTTTGGCGGGCTAGTTGGTTCATGTGTAGGGAAATAAATAAACTGCGCAAAGGACGAGAACAGAGGCAGAAACAAGTACGACATACTGCGCTCCGTGTGTCGTTGTGTCGTACTTGTGTCTGTCTGCCTCGTCTTTTACGCAGTTTATTTATTTCTCTCTCTCTCTCTCTCTCTATATATATATATATATATATATATAGCCAGCGCCGACCCTTTAAAAAGTTATAACTGCCAATAACGTTTTTAAGGATTCAAGGGAAACTCCTCCCACTCCTTTCCACTTTAGCAGAGCGAATGCTGGACAGGAGGTCATCTCCTCTGCAGTATTTGCTCCGCTAAAGTGGAAAGGGGCAGGAGAAGCTTGCCTTGACCCTTAAGGGGCCACTAAAAACCCAAAATTTTTTTTTATTTCAAATGACAGAAAATGTTTTTTAGGAATCGCTCTAAGAATATCATGCTTGAAAACTGCACATTTTCAGAAAAAAAGCAAGCAAATGTTTTCAGAAAGCTTGATCTGAAACGCCCGCCCGAATCTATGACGTGTTAGCGAAATATGGCTTGCCTCTTTGAATGACTTCAAACAGGAAGTGTTCAGAAACATTGTAACGCTTGAGGCAAGGACAAAGGAGGAGACTGTACAACACAAAGCGCTGACTTATTATGTTTAATCATCGTTAATTGGGAAGTATATACACAGCAATCATTGCATTTTCAGCCTGTCCCAGGCCTCACCACCGCTCGCAAGAACGCTACCTCCATATTTATCAAATCACTAAAGAGGAGCGCTGACACAGCCTGCACCAGATCATTTGATCCCGTCTGCTTCGATTATCTCTCTCACGGTCTTATTCTTGCGTCTGCCAAGAACAGTACGCGTGTTGACTAAAGGCCTGCCGCCGCAGTCTTGGCAGTGAACCGAGAGAAGGCCATTTCGATAGCTGTTAACGTTTAGGTTGTGCTCGCGTAAACTATCATTACAACGTCTGCCCCTTTGTCCAACGTATTTTTTTCCCGCAGGATAACGGATATGATTCAAACATCTGCGCAGGCAACAAACGGGCTTGTGTGTTTCTTTACGCAGCATAGCGAGGCTTTGCGGAAAGGGTTCGCCAATTTACGCAACTTGGCGAGCTTTTTCGGTGCAGAAAAAACGGCCTTTGTGTTTATATGATTAGCTAGTGCGCAGTTTTGTGCATATATGACATAACTCCTATCTTTTTTGTTTTCTTTTGGTCCCATCTGGAGTAGAGTTAACTTTTACTCGCAATCTCTTGAGAACCCATTCCGCAACCGCTACCAGAATAGCCTTCGGGGACTCGGCAGATAACAGACGTTTAGGCTGCACCATCAGTCTCGAATGAGTCACGTGGTGGCATGAGCTTCAAAAAGCGTTCATGAAACACAAATTTTCAAACCCTCTTTCAACAAGTATAGAATGGGATGAGTCATATGGTAACAGGGGTTGATTTGGCTCTAGGCTGATGTAAGTCCAACGTACATGATGCTTAGTCGAATCTTACATGATGCCTGCGCAGAAGGGGTCGTGTAAGGGGGGTAGCGTTCTTGCGAGCAATAGTGAGGCCTGGGATTGGCTGAAAGTGCAGTGATCGCAGTGTATATACTTCCCAATTCCCGATGATTAGACAGTTGAAG